CCCTGCTCTGAATCCTCTCCAGCCCTGCCCCAGCTCCATACCCTGCTCTGAATCCTCTCCAGCTCCATGTCCCGCTCCAGCCCCTGCCCCAGCTCCCTGCCCTGCTCTGAATCCTCTCCAGCCCTGCCCCACCTCCCTGCCCTGCTCTGAATCCTCTCCAGCCCCTGCCCCAGCTCCTGCCCTGCTCTGAATCCTCTCCAGCCCTGCCCCAGCTCCATACCCTGCTCTGAATCCTCTCCAGCCCCTGCCCCAGCTCCAGCCCTGCTCGGAGCTCGCTCCAGCCCCTCAGTGTCCATTCTGAACTGGACACACCACCCGAACTGTGGCCTCAGCAGTGCTCAGCTCTGGACCAGTTCTATTGGTAATATCAAAGCCCAGCAAGGTGTTTCATTTCCTTCAGAACTTGTGGCAGCATGGGAATAAATACAAGATAAAGGCACTGGGATATAAATATTGTTTCTGACTCAGCTTTCTAAATGCTTCAGGCACGTGGGTTAATGAGCGTAATCACCGTGCCCAGGATGCCACACGAGGCTGTAATGAGAACAAACAAAACATCTCGGGCACCAAAACTTCTCTGGCACCAGCTTGATAGAGACAAAAAGAAGAACTAAGGACAATGTAAAAGCAAACATATGTCTATCCTGGATGGTTTGGTCTTCCACAGGGTGCTTCTCACTCACCCTAGAACATATGTAAAGAACAGATGTCATTCTGAATAACTAAAATTCATGTACATGCTGCTAAAAGCTAAGAGTACTTTTGTGTAACATTTTACACTTATAAATGGTGGATTTCACTCTTAAAATCTGTAATTTTAGCACAGCAAAGCTCACACAAAAGGTGATTTCATAAGGAAGTGATGATGCCAGTGATAATTTTGTTAGTCTTTTAAAAGAGTATGGAGCCATACAGAGGCATGACCTCACAGCAGCCTTCCAGCGTCTGAAAGGGGTCTACAAGGACAGGGATTCAACCTCAGGAGCTGTAGTGACAGGACAAGGAGTAAAGGGTACAAACTGAAAGAGGAAAAATTTGTGTTAGATATAAGGAGGAAATTCTTTACTAGGGGTGGTGAGAACAGGTTTGCCTGGGGAGATTCAATGCTGGGAGATGTCCCTGCCCATGGCAGGGGTGTTGGGACTGGACGGTGTTTAAGGCCCATTCCAACCCCTCACCATTGTGTGATTCTATAATGCAGTACAGTTTCTACAGATATTTGCAGTGCCCTGCAGCAACACTGCTCTGGCTATGAGATACCATCAGCCAGCTCCTGGGTTCATCCATTTATGTGATTCTCACCAAAAAACCCAAGCACTTACCAATGGAACAAGCAGGCATGGCCATCATCTCCAGCCAGTTTTTTCAACGCCAACTCCCTAGCCAGGTGCCCTTGCAGCTTTTCTCCATCCCAGAGGGCCCATGAAGGTGTTTTTCCCTCCTATTACGTGTTGCTCCAAACCTCAGAGGGGCCACTGCACTGCAGAACACAGCACAGGGCAGGCCCTGCCACCTGCCCACCCCTCCCTCGCTGAGCAGCCAGGCCAAGTGAGGCACCACGTCAGATTAAAAATGTGTGCTACATGTGCAGGTACTCACATATTCCATTGTTAAAATCTCAGCCATGGTGTATTCACGGAAAATTCATTGTTAAAATCGCAGTCACGATGTATTCACGGAATATTCATTGTTAAAATCTCAGCCATGGTGCAGGAGGCAGAGGATCAGCAGTAGCTCAGTCCCTCCTGCACCTTACCTGAGCTAAACCAAACTCTTTTGCTTGCCCCAGTACATGGCACAGACCATGCTGCAATGGAATCAATCCTTCCTGCACCAAGATTCTCTCTTAGCAGATGCACAGAAAATTAAATCCCCAAGATGGCTTCAAAGCACCTTTAAAAGGGGCAGTGCAATTGCTCTGTGCACTTAGAACAGGCACGAAAGTTTACATGTCAAGCCTCCACCCTTTCAGCATACCTAATATATGTTTATTTTGTTATTAATAAAAAATTAGCCTGATGAATGGCAGAATTGCTCTAATTAGCTATGCATTTACGTACACAGCAGTAGTTTGTAGCTAATATCTGTAGTTTCTGTGAAATTCTTTAGCTAAAACATTAACAGTCTGCTAATTTTAAGCAAAGCCTGCAAGAAAAAAAAAAAAAAAAAAAAAAAAAAAAAAAAAAAAATTAAAAAAAAAAAAAAAAAAAAGGAAAAAAAGCAAAGAAACCTTTGAAGTACTTGAGTACATTAAAACAGAATGGCTAATGTACCAGGCACAGAACACATTGATGAATAATTGAAGTAAATTAACCTTAAGGACTACAGCACTTAGAAAAACAGAGTCTTTTACAGACATTTGAAAAATTAGACAAAACATTATTCTATTTAAATAAGATAATCCTTGAGGGCAAAACCAATTGTTGCAAAGCAAAACCAGACCATGAAGTCTCTACAAAGTACAAAACTATTTTCTGTTAGCTGTATAGATCTGCATTTCCCATTGTTGTATTGACTGTGCCATTATCCTACCAAAATAATCTAGGGCACCACTAATGACTTCAGTTTAACACATCCCAAAAACCGATTTGGCAGAGCCATGCTCACATCCTGGCTTTCCAAAAGGGGAGAAGGAAGAGAGGCAAAGGACCAACTCATTTTCAAAGGACATCTCAACCACGAGCCTATAGATTTGTGAGGGGGTAACAAAACTGCTGAACATATGTAGAATTTGGCTTTGAGAAATCACTTTATAGCACGGTCCCTTGGTTAACATTTACTGCAGCTAAGCAGCAGGCAAAAAATTGCCCTCAGTTGAACTTCTATAGCTTAAGCTGGTTTGTATTTATTTAGAGAGGTGATTCTAGACTTGCATTATTCTATGTGTGCCTCACTGCAGAGAAAATAAACACCAGTTCTACTGAAAATAAAGTAAGCACCCTTATGTCTTTGTCAGAAGCATCTTTTAAGAGAATGTAACTAATGCAGTCTTATTTACTATGCAGGATGTGTGAGCAGAACCTGAATTTTAGGTTTCATCAAGACTGTACCAACCTCCCATACTGTCAACATTTCCCAAGAAAAATGTGTCACCTCACAAGTCGACAGTGACAGTCTAACTCCTGCACATCTGAGCTGTCTCCTTTGCATTAGTTATGCAAATTTAAGTCTCTGGAGAATCCTGCTCTAATTTGGGGTTTGGTTTGTATTTGTTTGTATTGGGCACTTAATTCTTCCCTGTAATTTTCACAACCACACAGTGTTGCATAGAAGGAAATTAAAAACACATTCTTTTTTATTTTTTAGAACTTTATTAAATTACGCAGTAAGAACCCATCTCCACACAAGTGTTCCATTTCTGGATGGCAGAGGTATAATACATGAGCCACAGGTGAGTGCGTTACCCCTCCCTTCCCCCCAGCTTCCAAGAAACAAAACAGCAGGTACAACACACTCCTGTCACTACACTTCTCCAACAGATTGTTCATAAGGTTATTTTTAACTGGAGAAAAATGAAAAGGACCAACAGTGCCAAGTGTCCTGTTCTGCATATGACTGTTCTTCACTGCAGCATTCCAACAGCTTCTCCTGGGCGTTGGTGGCAGAGGGTCAGGGAGCAGTGGCAGTGGAATGCGTTTGCACGGCTACTGCTAGATGCAAAGCCTGTGACTTCCCTAGAGGTAATCAGGCAATCAGAGTGCAAGGAAGGCCATATGACTGTTGAAAACTGTTACACTTCAAAGTGCATGTCCACAAAAAGTTGGCAACAGAGGAGAAAGCGAATTCTAGGACCTACTGCGGAGGCAGAGCAGTCAGCATAGTGCAAATACTGAAAGGAACAGAAGTTTGCTGGCATTATCCAAAAATCACCAGCCAAGCTTCCTACTCAGATGAACTGCTGCAAACCCTTTCAATTAAATCAATTTTAATTTATGCCAGTAGTGGGCTTGGCTCAAATCTTTTAATACTTGGATTTTGACTGAAAAAATCCTGTATTGAAAGTGTGGTTTTACTCTGAAAAGTGACTAAAATAGCATAAAGGATCTTCCCACATTTTTCAGCAGCTGTGCATAATGAATTCACCAAGTTTACAAAAGAGAAACTTTTTATATAGATCTACAACAAATTTATCTGGGTTCAGAATGCCAGAGTGCATTTCTGCTTTAGCTATCAGCACCTTTACAGTTCTGCAGTTGTAGCTGAATTCTGTGGGGTTTGTTTGCTCTAAGAAAAGGAAGTTGCCTTTTCCTAAAGGTGTCCTACTTAAAAAATGAAGCAAGAAGTCTTTTAGACAAGCAGGACCTTGATCCAAGGAAGATGATGCCATTTTTAGAGAGACTTTTCTGACCATAATCACACTTTGAGAACTGATTAAAAAGAACCTCAGTGGAAGATTCCCTATGGATGCATTACTGAACAACCATCTATAGAAGAAATATGGCAAAGGAAAACTACTTTGCAGAAATCTTTACAGATCTAGCTGAACAAAAATTTGAGAGTCCTTCATTTCTTGGATTATATGTATACCTCTGTGAAGTGAAGCACTAGAATTTACAAGTGTGAACTAAAAGGATTAGGAAAATGAAGTAAAAAGCATATCACTCTACCTCCACCAGAACATCACTTTATTGTTTATCTGTCATCAACAATGTAAAACTCTACTAGATACTCTATCCTGGTTTTTAAAAAGGTAAAGATTACATTGGATTAGCTACTTCGTACGAAAGAAACTACAGCAATCACAGTAGAATGAGATTGGAGGGACAATTTGAATTACAAAAAAGTGTACACTGCAAGCAGAGGGAAGTGCACATTAAATCAAATGCCTGTAGGAATCATTACTTTTAAATGCACAGTGACAATTTTGAGAAACTGTACATAATAGAATCACAAAAATGACTTCAAAATAACCAAAATTACATTTTGCATTTGACCATCCAACTCATAAGTAATCATTAATGTTCTATATTTTCAGTGCTTTTGGAGAAATTGTTTACCGAACAGAATTTAAGTTGTTAATTTGACTAAACTGTGAAGCAGAAGGATTGAAATAAAAAGTATATTGGAAGTACGCCTAACCTACAAGAATAAGCCAAGAGGGGTGTATGCAAGGAGAGGCTGGGAGGGAGGAGTGAAAGGAAAGAGGAAAGGAAGAAGAGAACAAAGGCTTTTTCTTCTATCTCAGAAGTTCTTCCAATGCAGCGTGTATCTGATGTACAGCTCTTTGCTTTCAGTCCATTTCTGAAGTTTACATTTTGTAGCCTTTTCCCATACTAACTGGTCAACTCAACCAGCACTGCTGCCACAGAACAAGAGGAACAAGGATCTGAATGCATCAAATCTGCCCTCGCTGTGATTTCTTCATGGCCCCATTTTTCTGTTTTTCTTTGAACAGGGTTCGGTGTTTCCTGAATTGTTCACAGGGTCAGGTGGAATTGAGTTCCAAATCACTCTGCCGTTTGTAGCATCCTGATTTCTTTCTGCAGCTGACCCCCAGACACGTTTGCAGTTCTTCCGTAGCAGAAAGACAAACCGTGTTGCTCAAGCGGTGAGCTTTCACCCTTGACCGTGGGGGTTGCAGACCATTGTGTTTAGCGTATCCCTGAGTGCAGCTATCCTGCAGGATTCACTTCCCAGTGCACCGAGATTTCCTAGGTTTCCTCAGATTAAGCCCCAGTATGCATCACCACCGACTGTGGTGCGGCTACGGATGCCTGAGGCCGAGTTGATTCTGGTGGATGTCTGACCTCGCTGAACCAGACCGAGCTGCTGTCTCCCTACTCATACCCAGGCAGTCCAACCTTCATACAGCTGAGCCAAGTTATCTAGATTAGTTGCTTCCTTAATCACAAAGTCAACCTATTAAAAAGGTCAAACAAGGAATTAAAAATAAGCTAAAATTTTAGAAGTGGTTAAGTGATCTTAGAATTTACTGTCAAATGCCACCTGCATTTCACTGATAAAAATTTAAGTAACTGTAGACATAACTTTGTGCAGTCCACATAAGAAACAGGAAGCTGTACTAAAAAAACAACAAAAAAATCACATCATCTCATTCACAGCCCCTATCTTGGAAGTAGCCACGCCATTCTCAAATAGACGTGGACAACTGTGTCCCCTGACTCCGTTGCCCAGAGACAGGAGTGGTTGTGTATGTTACTGAACACAGAAAAGTTCTGTCCCTTGGGCAGCTGTACAGATCTCGTGCTCTCCCTGGCTATCAGCAGCTGTGGAAAAAATGTTAGCTTACTGACAGGCAAAAGACAATTTTATCTGATTCATGGCTTTACATAAACCTCCCATATGAAAAACAAAAGCATATGACAGTTAAAAAAAAAAAAAAACAGCAATACAAGGCAGTAGCAACCTTAACTTGCACTGCAATAACTCCCACCCCCAAAGGAACCCCCATTCACAACAGGATTTCAGCCCTGAAGGCACACTTCAGCATACACAACTGCTAATTAGCATGTATTCAAAGCAAGGACCAGTACTGGAACTTTATTCTCAACTCACCTGTTCAGCCACAGACATTCTCCTGTTGGGATCCACATCTCGGCCCTCTAACTTGGCTTTGACCCGCTTCCACACGCTAACTGCGTAGGAATTCCTCTCCTGCACAGCTATAGGTACAAAATAAAGTGAGTGCAACTTGACACTCCTGCACAGAAACCCACTGAGTATCTTTTTGTTGCTGTCAGTGGTATGGTTGCTGGTTTTTTTAAGGTTTGTATTTACCTTTTCCTGTTTTAGGGTCCCTGGCTGTCTTTTTGGGACTACAAGCAACACTTTTGCCAGTTCCTGGGACTGTGTTTGGAGGAGTATCTGCTGATGTTGCAAGATTTTTCTGAATTAGCTTTCTTGCATTCTGTGACATCACCTCTGGCTGAGTTTTCTGCCCTGTATTGCTACGTACAGCTGTAAAGAAAGTTTAAAAGTGCTTAAAGTCATCAAAATAATAGCATACAGAGGCAAGAAAAAGCACAATTAAATGTGTATCAAATAGACCTATCAGTTTTTAAGAACAAATGCATTTTAAATTTGCATTTTCAGTTCTGCACCAGTTTTCAATCTTTCCATTTTCTAATTTCTTTAGTTTCATAAACAAAAAGTTTTTTTCCACTGCTAAGAATTTACTTATATTAAGCAAATTGTCTGCATTTCAGAGTTCAGTAAGAGCTATGATTCCCTCTCTAATATCAATTCCTGGTGGTTTCATGTTTGTACTTTTGCAAGTATTACCTGCAGCAAAGGTTGGCTGATATGTAGCAGCTGAAGTTGGGCTGGAGCATTCATTTGCTGTATCCGTGACTAAGGGTGATGCAAACCCCACCAGATTATTGTAGACACTGGGAAACATAATGGAGTTGATAAATACTCATGCAACTACTTGACTTACTGAAAATCCAAGTATTAAATTAATTCAAGTTTTGCAAGATTTCTGAGTGCTAAGAAAATCATCAAGTATGTGTTCATATCACCATGACGTGTGTTCCTGCTACATGAAAGCAGGTATGCAAAATGCCTTTTCTCACCTGAGACAAGGTAACTGTCTTACCTTTGGCTCTGTGTTTTAAGTTCTTTCAAGGTGGGAGTTATTTCCTGCAGCATTTCAACATGTTCCTGACTGCGGACTTGACCCATAACCTGAACTAATGTAAACAGAACTGTCTGAATATTATCTTGCCATGATTTATATTCACCCAGGAACTGCCTAACACTGTTCTCATAGGGAACATCTTCACCATCTGCCAAAGCCGCTTCTTCATCCTGTAACAAGATGTGCAAAACGGTCATCAACTGCTATATTTTGGCTAAGAGAATAAAGTGGAGATTTCTAAGCCCTTTCCGTCCTTCAGTCTGTCATTTGATTACAAATAACTATAATTTTCAGAAGTTATGTATGAAGAAATAAATTTTTAAATTATAAATTTTTTTACAGATTTAGAACAAAAATATTTATAAACAAAATGTTTTAACTGCCGAGAGAAAAGGTTCAGTTCAACCAAAGCCTGCTCAGGCTAATGCTAGAAAGTTTTATGAATTCTTAAACATGAAGAATTGAACTTGTCTTGAACTCCATATGCACGAACATTTTACTGTTTCTAGATACTTTACAAAGCACATAGCTACAACTGTTGTTTTTCTTACACTGTACTGACATGGGTTCAAGGAATAAATTTAAGCATGTTTAGGCATACCTTTGCCATAGCTTTCAGTAGATGTTTGACATCTCCAAGCTGTCTGTTATGACCCGTGAGCACAGTTTTAATACTATCCACCAGATTCTGAATTGTTTCACAAACTGTTTCTATTTGCTGTTCTCGTTCTGTTTGTACTGTTCTCTGTGTAGATATCTCCTGGGTCAACTGCTTGTGAGCTGAGTGAAGCCACTCAGAGCTGCCAATAGGATGTTCGAGACCAGTGCCCTAAAAGGAATAGAAACATTTCTTTATCTGTACCCAGAGATAAAATTCACTTGCTGTGTAACAGCACGTGTTTAACTGACAGCACAAACCCTGCGGCCACACTCCATCCGCAGGAATACATAACACTGAGAATGAAGACAAAATTGAGAACTCCCTGCAGTGGTTCTGAAAGGTTTTGTGCTCTGCTCTGCCCCGTGCTCACCACCCTCTGCAGCAGGCGGAGCTCCAGGTCAGACACGGAGCTGTTGAACTGCGATGCCAGGGAGCACATCTGCTGACAGCGTTTGAGGAGGTCAAACAGGGCAGCATCGAGATTCAGGGCTTCTCCTGTTCTGGTACGTAAACTCTCAAAATGAATGATATTACTGCAGAGGAAAGTGACCTGAAAAATCAAAGCCAGAGTGAGAAAAATTATTTCACTTCAACTGTTTATTAGATAAACAGCATTTTTTTCATGTGCTTTGAAGTGAGGATTTTAAACACACAGATACTGCCCTGTTACAGTAGCAGTATCATCCCAGCGTCATCCAACCCTGCAGCAATTCTCACAAAGATTATTCCTATGGCTTTCAAGCGGGATTCCCAGAAATATTTGGTTATCTGTGTTTGCTCTTTAGATGCAGAGCATAAAAATATCTTCTACATAAACCTCGAGTAGGAAATGAAGAGTGAACACACTCATGAAGAGTACTGTACTTATCTGTAGTACCTGGCTTGCTCTTTGACTTTCTTTCAGTACAAGGTTTCTCCGTTCAGCAATAGTGGCATCAAAATCTTGCAAGACTGGGGCCAGTGCAGGATTAGCACCTCCTGCCCATTTTAAACGCTGCTCAATACTTGCTTCAAGTGCTGCTAGTTTCTCCTGCATTAGGGAAGAAAAAAGCCCATAGAGATAATTCATACTGATATATAGCATTCTAAGCCTGACTTTAAATAAATTATGCATACATAGCACATGCAGACCCTTGGAAAAGTGAAATTAAAATTGAGAAAGGTAAGCAGTATTTAACAAACAAACATTCTATATTACTGGCACCAAAGAAGTCTAAAATACTGAGCTAAGCCACAGCACACAAACCTTAACACACAGAAGAATTAATATGCCCATTTCTACAACAGGAACTTCTGACATTTAGCTAGCAAAAACAATAGTAAGGATGATCTAAGGCACACAAACTTAAAGAAAAGGAGCATTAGCAGCCTTCAGAAAGAAAGATACTTTCACAGATTTGTATTTTTCTTCAAAAATATTTACTGCTATTCCAGATAGAACATTTTGGATGCAACAGCAAAATCAAACAATATAACAGTACCCACCAGACCAAAAGAGATCAATGACAATACCCCCATATTTGCATAAGACAGCAACCCAGATAACGTAATTTGAAGGTGGCAGAGGATTTGCAGTTTGTGTTAGTCCCATTTCAATGTGCTGCTGAACAACCCTCCCCAGAACAGTCATACCTGGACCGTTGCAATGGAAGCTTCAATCTGACTGAGCGCATGAAGTTTCTTTTTCATGTTGTTTAAAATTGCTGAACGAGGTGGAGTGACAGAAATAGCCTGGGGGCGACTGATGAGAAGATCCTCATGCTGCCACTTTAAGAAAGTAACATCAACACTTGATTAGCAATATTGCTCAGCACAAAATACTTTGCATCACAAACACCAATTCCAGTGCTCTGGTACCCTTTATAAGTAAGGGCACTTCAAAAGGCTGCGTGTCAGACACTACTAGCACAGCTCAAAGTTCTAAATCATTCAAGAGCATTAAATTACACAAGTAGTTGCAAATTATGTTTTGTTGGCTTGGATGTTTATACCATTTATCCATCCACTAACTTACTAGTTGTGATTTACACACACCTTTTTAATCTAAAGGAAAAGCCATCAATATTCAGAAACATTCACTTGTGATACTTTAAAACCAAGATAATTTTGCTTATTGGTCTATGGAATGGTTTAACTGACCTGGAGAAAGCCTTGTTCCTGAAACTACAAACCCCTATAAAGTAAAGATCACTGACAGTACAACACAGCTGCATACCCGTGTAAAGGTACACAATGGCATTTATCTAAAGCCTCAGAAAAGTGATTTTCAGGACTGATACTGCTGCTATTTGTACTTTTAATGAAGCGAAGAATGGAGCAAGGAGACAGTCAATATGGTAAAACTTTGAAGGAAAGGTACAAAACTACATTCAGCAACTCATACCCTCTGTTCTAAGCTATCTCCTCCCTTAAAGTCATAATCTGAGAAAAAGGGGGAGAACGCGACAGCATTGCCGGTAAGAAAGCCAGTGACTGACCTATTTTCTAAAAGGCACTTAATGGCTATTGAAAAAAATTATATGTATTGATTCAAGACAACTTGTATGTTGCAGAATTTGCTTCTTGTAAAGCAGCTAGTCTTCCAGAAAACCTAGCAATAACACTTTTCCTTATATATTTACAGCACAATTATAACCAAAATACCTTATTAAGTCCACAAAAATACCTTAGAATTTATTCAACAAAATACCATGTCTGTTGTGCTCAGACACTGTAAATCATGCTCATTTTCCCCAGACCCCATCTGGAAGTCCCAGCCTGTGCTGGGCTCTCACCTGGAACATGGCAATGTGCAGCTGCACTCTCTGCAGGCTGGTCTTGCAGGAGGAAATGCTGGTTTCCAGTCTGCGCACCAGGTCGTGCTTCTTCCAGGCCGTGTCGTAGGAGCTGGCCAGGACTGTGGCCCTGTTCATCACCAGCTGTGAGAACTTGCCAATCTGGATGTTGTGCTCCACGGCTTTCTTGCACAGGTCATCCACAGAAACCTTGCTTTCTGCTCCAAAGTCTTTAGCTTCTACCTGAGCAATGATATCAACACCCAGAGCGCTGATGAAACTGCACAAGGTCAGTCCCAAAGCTTGATTTGGAAGGCCAATTAAAAGCTGCCTCACAAAGTCTGCTGTAAAAGCTTTAATTGGCTTGGCCATTTGATCTTCACTAAAACAAGAGTTCCTGTAAAGGGCTTTCACATTGACAATTTGAACAGGTCCATTTACTGCATTCTGGTCTTCAATTGAACTGATTCCTTTTAAAGGGAAAGAAATAGTACTTCTGTTATAAAGGAAACATTTGGTGCATCCAGAAGAATAATACCCGACTTACAAACACAGCAAAAGCACAGGAATTCATTTTTAGTTGCTGCTTCCTTACCACCTATCCACGGTAAGTTATAGCAAAAGTGACCATTTTACATTCTTCTGAACAAGATGAGAAGCAGATAAAGGGAAGTGAATATTTGATATAATTTATTTACCTGACAGTGTCTTAGAAAAGGTACCACAGAGCCTGAAAAATTCTTTAATTGTTTGCAGTCTCTTCAGAAAGAAAATTTCCTCCAGGACTTGGCGATTATTGTCATCATCAAAGAAGTTAACCTGGGTGCTGCGAGCTTCCCTAATTATGTCAATCTTACGCCAAGCAAGAGGTATCTCCATCTTGTTTAGCTGAACAATGTAAAGGTAATTAATTAGTTTGGGCTTTTTTAAATGTTTCCTAATTCAGGCTCAAACAGTACTCCAAAAATAACAAATCCATACCTTTTCAATCAATAAACCAAATGCAGTTTCCACTTGAGCAAACATTCCATCAAAAGCTACCAAAAGCATCTGACCAGCTGACATTTTGGGAGTTTCATCAACTGAACCATTTCTTGGCTGAATCAGTTCACCATACTGAGCATGAAGTACTCTTAAAAGGAAAGAAAGAAAATTTACATGGTTTCACCAATTCACTGTAGCACTGATGGAACCGCCACAACTGGCTCAAGGGAAATACCAACTTGAAGATTTTGAATTGGTTTGTTGTGCACCAAGCACCTACCCAGAAATGTAGGTGCACATTAGAAGATGCACAAGTCTGTTTGCTCAGTGTTTTGTCTCATTTTGTGTTTTTAATCAAGTCACTGTCTTAAGCAAAAGCTGCTCATCAAACCTCCTGATGAGGAGTGCCATGGTTACAAGCTCTCCCTTTCACGGGTTCCTCCCACAAACTAATGAACAGGTTCCTATTTTTAGCATAATTTAACTTCAAATAGAAAATCACAACTATGTATTTTGGAAGAAGTTGACTACCAAAAGCCAGATGTAACTGTAAATTGCCACAGCTCCATATTTCTATGTATGAATGGGGATAAACACACAAACAAGCAGAGAGGAAACAAGAGCACACCTTATACCCTGCACTCTGCTTAAGGTATTCTTGGGCAAGAAAAGCCTGTATATCAAACAAAAAAATACTTTGAGACAAACTAATGTTCTTCAGTTTCCACTCTCTCACACCAAAACTGGAAAAAAGGTGATTTACCTTGCAACATCAATGTAGTGAGTGTGTGTCTCCTCCTCTATACCCATAGCAGCATTTCGTAAGTAGGCTTGAAGAGATTCAACCAATGTTTGCAAAGGGACTCCATCAGTTGTTTGCTCTATAAGATTATCCAATTCATGGAGCATACTTTCTAAAGTATACTCTCCTTTCATTAAGCACCTAAGTGCTTCTGGGAAAATGATCTGTCGGAAGTTTGAGTTCAATTCCTGTTGGGAAGTAAGTATGAAAAAGTAAGAACTTTTCCCCCTCAAAAAGTATCCCATGCAACATCTTTTGTCATTTTAATACTACACCACCATGCAGCAGACATTATCTAAAATATAGTGTGATGGTGGTCAGCCAAGAGTCAAAAGTCTGCTCCTGGATTAACTTTGAAGAAATCAGGAACACAATAAACCCTGTACAAAGCCAAAGGTTTGACACCTGTAGCAATGTAGCAACAACCATCTCCACAGCACCAGCAGCAATACCTGACAGCCATCCTCATCAGAGGCTGGGAGGCACAGAGTTCATAATTTGTGAATTGGTTTCATCAGTGTCAGCTTTTCTTTTCCATTATGTAACTACAAGCAAATTAAATTATTTATTGAATTTATGATTTACAACACTGATTGTACTAGACAAAGGAAAAGTAGCAGAAACTTGACAGGTAGTGATAATTTTGCCACAGAAAGTGATGCAGGGAAGAACAGTACCTTAAGTGGCACAGAGCAATTTTCCCCAAGCAGAATGCAGCAGAGGGCTAAATGCAGCTACAGAAAGAGCCAACATGCTCTGTCTCCAAAAGGAGATGAAACACACCAAAAAGACTGGTTATCTTGACTGCCAAGTGAGCAGGAGTTCAGTGAGTACATCTTATCTAAGAGCTCACAGGGAGGACAACAATGTGTGGGTGAAAGATCCCCACTGCAATGCAGTGAAATTGCTGCCATGCACATTTCTGACACAGTTCTGAAATGTTACAACTTCAAAGAGGGAAAAATTAAAGTGATGAAAATCCAAATGCACTTAATGCAGCCTAAGAGGAAAATATTTCTCAAATACAATACAATGAAATTAAAAGCTTCAAAAACCTATTTAACCAGCCACAGTTGATAAAGTACATCAGTCTTCAGCAGATATTTCACTCAGACTGCCCTTCAGGGGTTTTTTGTTTTATTAATGTGGAAACATTTCTGAACCACAAAATTATAAATGCATTTTTCTCCTACTCAATATTGGACACAGGGGCCTGTACAACAGGTTTTCTGAATTTATTTGAAACTGTTTGATTCAGGTGAAAATAAGTAAAGTTTAGCAGGAGCAGAAAACAGAACACAGTTTGAAGAGTCTGGAAGTTGATCAGGACTCTCAGTAATAGAACAGAAAAATGAAAGAGACATACAGCTGGTGTGTCTATAAATCTGATACCAATGTCTTCCTCATGGTTACTTACTTGACAGCAGTTTTTTGCAATTTCTCATGTATAGATCAAAACATTTTCTGTCAACCAATAAAAATGTAAATGACAGAAGCAAATGCCTGTTCAGCTCAATCAAATAAAGCACTTGGGAGCAAGATTTAGGAAAAAAAAAATCTCAGCAGCATCATAAACAAACATTTAGTCCATTAAGGAAGAATCTATTAAAAATGACTTTGCTGAAGCCTTGAAGGATAGGGGGAAAAAGTAACAAAAGAATCACCTGAAGTGAGATATACACTCCATTGGCTAAGTGAACAGCTTCTGATGCTTCCATGGGGTTGGGAATATCCAAGTCCTGGGGTACAAGATGGCACTGCTTCAGCAGCTGCACAAGGCACGTGACATTCCCACTCATGCTGCAAAGCTCCTCCAGGAACCAGGCTCCATCTCTGGAAGTCAAATCAACCAGCTGCTCTCCAGCACTGGACGCTGCACCTTCCATCATCAGGTTTCGCCTAGATGAATTGAGACACTTAGACACCGCACCTGCTGCTGCACTCCTCAGAGAATTCCATCACTGTGATGTGCTCCCCACCAGGAACTTTTCCCCGGAGGGCACTCACCTGGTCAGCGCGCAGAGAGCGGAGATGATGACGCTGGCCAGGCTGAGCGAGCCCTCCTCGCCGTTCTCATGCAGGAACACTTTGATGCAGCGCTCGATCTCCTTGAGCTGCTCCTCGCACACGGGCACCGTGACCGCCTCCTGCTTCAGCCGCTCCACCTGCCGGATCAGCCGGCTGTTGATGTCGGCCGCGTAGCGCTGCAGCGTCATCTCCGTGGTGGATATGAACTGGCACACGCTGGGCGGCGGCTGCGGAGCGTACTGCATCTCGTACCTGCCGAGCACAAGCACAGTGACTACACCTCCCCTTCTCACGTGGCAGCAGACTGCACTCTGCTCGGTAGGCAGGAAACACACTCCATGCTTGAACCGTTCCTCAATCACCTACTCCTTAATGCTAAATACCACAATGCTTTTATCCGGTCCTAAAATACACCATATTCCACACCTATTTGCAAGGACATAATACAACTGTCCTTGAAGCAAAGAATCAACAGAAGATAAAAAGAAAGGAAAGAGATTTCAGAGGAAATGCTCAAATATAATCTAGATCTTTTAAGCCAAGCCATAATAATGTTGAAAAAACCTGACTTAAGAAGAAAAAAAGAACCAGAAACTGCTTGAAAATCTACTAGATAAAAAAACCCAAAACATTACTTATTGATTTTTAAGTACTAGAAATTTCTAAAACTCAAAATATCACTACTCTGAAGCCACAAAGGTGAATTCTCCATTTCTTCATTACATGAAAATGTTACTTGATTTTCCTGTTGAAGCACACAAATTAAATTATGGAATGGTACTTTTAAGGCAGTTTTTCATATTTATCCCAAATTTCCAGAATTACAACTTACTGTTGGTTTGCTTTATAATTAGATAGGTCCTTCCAAAAGAATTTATTTAAATTATAAAATTAGGGTAGTAGCTTGAAAATTACATTTTTTTTAACAGGTCATTATTCTGTCAACTTACTTCCTAAAGATATCCTGACAACGGTCTATTGTCATGTTACAAATGAGCTCTTCCATCCAGGTTTTCCACTGCTCTATTCGGTGCTTCTGGAACACAGCTTTGGGATACTGCAGAGCTACTGTTGCATAGTTGTGCAATTGTTCCAAGCAACCACGTAACACGGATCTTCTCTGCTGCAGAAAGCTACCAACCTCTCCTTCCAGCTGTTCACACTGGCTGATGAGATGTGCCTGGCCTGCATTTTGCAGAAATGCTGTTGCTGGGACATAACTTGGAGGACCTTTAAAGAAAGAAGGTTAAAAATAAAGACACTATTATACAATAAAAATACTGAGCATTAACACTTTTTCAAAAATTTTTTTACCTTGTGATAAAGGAGCATAGAGAATTCATATTGAGAATTTTGAGCACAGGGTAAGAGAATCTCATGCCCAAGTAGGAGAAGACAAATTCCTTGGGACAGCTTGGCACTGAAACCTTGAAGTGCTCTAAATCATCCTTTGAAGAAGTCCCTTTCTTTTAACCTATTACATACAGATCTTTGCCTTTAAGCTAGAGGATACTCATAATGCCTCCTGATATTAAACTCAAGTTATTTTCAAAACCATTAAAACCACCCCCAGAAATACTATTAAGTACCTAGGTCCATTTGTGTGCTGATTTCTTGGAGCAGACTTGCAAGTTGTGTTGCCTCTAAATTACTGAAGGCAGTTTGGTAATGGGTTATCCACTGCTCAAACTCATTTAACTTCACCTGGATGGCTTCCTGGACAGCTCTTTGTTGAGACTGCAACTGTGTGTGCTCAGAATACCTGAATTATTGAAGCCACAGAATCAAGTAAGTACTACAAGAAAGAAAATACTTAACACTATAGTATACAGAACAATATTGAACAATACAACTGTTAACCAGGAAATGAACGTGTTCTCACCAATTACGTTAAACTAACAATGTTGCATTATTAATTCTGCTTTCCTAGAAAATAATTAATGCCTGTGCCTATTCACACAATTCTGAAATACTTGATTAATTTCAAATAACCATCAAAAATAACTTAAAGAATCAGAAACTTGGAAGAAAGTATTTTTGTGTGATTTATCAATAGTTCCCTTATGGGGATTATAATGATGGAACGAGACTTTCAGAACATTCCCACTTGATCCTTAAGGATCAAGTGTGGAACTTGGACTAGCACAGGTTATATCAATGGAGTATGAGGTGCAGGACATAAATAAGGTTATTTAGCAGGAAAAGTAGTTGTTCTTTACAAGGAGTGACCTGCTTTTACCAAGCTATTCACTCATGTACAGATTTCTAGCATTCATACATAGCAATAAGTAGTACATTGCTAAAACACCATCTGTATTGAACTGTGAGACTTCTGACAGAATTCCTGGCTCCTCTGTACCTGTTCTGAAGTGTGCGGGAGGGATGATCCACTCCTTCTGCACCTTCCAGAAATTCTATCTCTTCCAGTAGTTTTCCTTGCAACTTTTCTACATCTGTTAACTGCTCCTGCAGGTTCAGGTACTCTTCTAAACTACTGTCCAGTTTTGGCAGCACAGCAAGCATTTCATCTCTGTTCTTAAACCAGTTAACCTGCAATCAAGACACAGATGTTACCAAACTGCACTAAATCAAACTGGCAACAAAGTAATATATGGCAGAACTTAACCCTTCAACACAACCATTCATCTAGCACTGCTTCAAGTGCTACAACTGCCAAATCTTAACAGACATTTGTTATTTAAGCTGCTCTATAAACCTCCATTTTTATTCTCCTAGCTCAGATTCAGGCAAAGCACTAAAACATGTTTTTTAATTAAGTATGCGACTGAAAACTAAACACTTGCAAGTTCAATATAAACACTTCCCTTCATACAAATTCAATTTATCATAATAAAATTCATGAACTAGTGCTGATACATGACCACATCTTCCCCCATTCCCAAAATACAAATAAATAAAATGAAAGCGCAGCATCTACTTTGGTTTAAAAATAGAAAATTATTGTAATTGCAAACTCACCTTTATCTCGGCCACCCTCGAGGAAAAGAGACTGCGTGTAATATCCCTTTCCATTTCCCTTTTGCTCTGCTTGTTTTCAGCCTGCTGGCCACCACCACCATAGACAGCCCCAGCAAATCCTGCCTCGCCTCCAGCTGTCCAGTCCACCAGGGGATCATAAACAAAAGCTTCCAGCAGCGTAAGCAAAGTCTCCCTCCCACGCCGCATAATATGAAGGACCTGCATTGTATTTTAAACAGACTTGTTCTGATTCTGTGATATCCTTGTAGAACAGTGGAAACTTAGAGGCAAAATACTGTACCTGAGTAGGTACAGAAATCTATAATGTATACCTAACTACAACACAGACAGGAAGAACACCACAGTGGGTACAAATGCAGCTGAGCCTGTGGGAAGATCTATCCTTCCACACAAACTCTATGCACAAGGCACAGACACTTAAGGAGGAAAGATCTCCCTTCTTCAGAGCATTCTTCTTTTTAAAAACCTGTCATGCTTATACAGGATGAGTCCCAATGGAAGATGGCAAGCAAAGTAGCTCAAAAAAAATCCAGGAAAAACATAACATTTTAATCTACAACTACAAGTCCCCCTTTTGTCCTAAATTTTAGTTGTACCACTACTTGCATGTGCATTTATTAGACAATCTCATATTTCTTAAATACCTACCACAGGATATAGCTAAAGTAAGCCCAATTAAAATCATAGCAGAAAGGTGAAGCCTCTATAAACCAGCAGCAGAATGTAGAATAGAAAAGTTCTAAGACAGTATTAAGGCCAGTGATAGCCCTCAGTTTTCCAACCTCCTACCATACCTGTTCACAAGAAAGCCTGAACACCCCCTCCACTCCTGTCACTCCCAGTGCTGTTTCAATGTTGTGTGTCATCCGGAACGGAACCTTCTCTGGGACCCTAAGGCTCTTCCCTTTAAGATAAAAAATTAAGTTGTTTCTTTTAATTACCAAGAAAGAAAACCTTTTATTTGAATAACATATAGCATTTTTTAAATTACCTTTTTCAAAGCAAACATTATAATCTATGTGGACAACTTCTCCTGTAGTCATATCTATAAGAACATTATCCAGATGTCTGTCTCCAAGACCAATGATGTAGCCAACCATGGACATAACTGCAGTGGATCTTGCATACGACTTAAAAGAGAGTTTCAGGAAAAAATTATTTGTGGGAATCCTCTGCGAACACATTGGACTGACTACCATCTTAAAACATTATTTTAAGTGTAAGTGTAAAACAAATCAAGCCCAACTTATTCCAAGCAGTTTTCTATTTGTTGTTTGATGATATTTTACAAGAGTTTTCATTTTTTAGGCTGGTAATTCTAGTATAATAACTGACTTATCCGGTCTATACCCAGGTTTTAATTTGATGGCACAACTGCCAACATTTTGTCAAACTCACAGCAGCACCAGCTCTCCAAACTCACAAGTACCACACCTCAGGCATTTGTTGCCCCTCATCCCATAAAAACCACAGCCTCTCCTATGTAAAATACAGTTGTTGTAACTCACCTGTGTAACTCTCCACCACTCATCTGCTGTGGTACACGATGACCAGAGCTCCTTAGCGAGGAGATTCGGGGGAGTTGCTTCCATTAGCTCTTCCAGAACAGCCCTCATGACATTCAAGGGCCAGTCACGACGTGACACGTCGAGACTAAGCCCAACTGCCTTTAAAGCAGGTCCAATTTTACTGTAGTAAAGTTCACTGGGTCTAGGAACTATTCCAGGGTTCTGAGGGGTCTGGTAAGAGTCCTGAGCCTAGAAGAAATGAAAAATGGTAGTTGATGTATTAGCACAGAAACATAACCCAAATTCAGTATTGGTGACAATGAAATATGAAATCAATGCCTTAACTGAGCAGGATTTCTTCAGCTCAGAGACTGCTTTCAAAATTCAGATGTTAAGGTCTAAATAGACTGAAAACACATTGTTCTGGCCTAATTCTACTTTCAAAGAAGATCTCAAATATAACTACAAAAACTGTATTTAGAATGAAATGAGTAAACAAGATATGGAACTAAAATAATTTCAATCAAGGTTAATTCTATTTGTAAAAAACAGTTCTCTTGAGTTATCATGCCAGAACAGCACTTTTATGTTACATACTGTAATTATATATAAATAACAGAGATGCAATTTTATTGATTTCTGGTCAAGTCCCAAGATACATGAATACACACAACCCTCCTGCATTATTATGAACAAACGCAACTTAGCATGACAAAGCAAATCAAAACAAGCACTTCTCTTCTGCCTTGTTCTACTTAGCACACATCACAGCCATTACCTTTTGTGCCTGCAGAGCAGCTTCCCGCTGCTGCCAGCGCTTATAAAGCCCAAAGAGAGGTGTGGCTCCATCCACCCACTGGATGAGGCCCGACCTTGTCCCCAGGGGTGTCACCGAGTAGTGCCTCGCGTGGAACCGTGGCGTCTCTTGCCGGTTGATCGTGGCAAACATGGTATTCACAATGGATAAGAACTGCATGATTCTCTCATCTAGGTGCAAGTCTTCCAAACCTGCAAGAAATTTGTTTTAATATTTCGCTTCTAAACAAAACATTTTTTCCTAAAGCCCAAAATGCAGCATTTTCTTAAACCTACTACATTTCAGACTATGAATATCTTTATAATATGTAGATTAAGGATGAGTTGTTTGGCCTAAAGCAAAGTGTTTACATAGCATTTACCTACAGTTCATCCAGCTTGCTGCATGAGCAATACACACTATAGTTACAACATAACAAACAGGCCTTTCCCTTGCAGAGAAAACAAGAAGTCTCTAAAGTTCTCTTTTAGGGGCTACGTTAAGCTTCTGGAAAACTGCATCCAGCTAAACCTATCAGTATGCAAGCAGAGCATTGCTTCTGATGAAAGCCTTGTAAAGAATGGACTTGACTTACAGTTTCACATAGCAAAATTCCTTGAAAAATATATGGTGAAGTGAGGGTAGGGAAGAGACAGAGCAAATGCTTCCAACTCCTCTTTCTCTGCATCATTCAGGCAAATAAACCTAGAGTTGCACCATGCAATCTTCCTAGCTTTAATACAGTCTAATTAACAAGAGACAGTACCTGCTATGAGACTAATTCTATTACTTACCTTTGAACAGGTAGGGATAGTTCTTCCCATCTGAACCCAGGAAAAGCAGCTTTTTAGGTTTGGTTTTGGTTGGGAGGATGGTGATGGTGCTGCCCACACTGTGGATGGTGACTGTGTCCCTGGTGGACACCTCTCCAGGAAGTGCTATTTCAGTGTTCATCATGGCAGCCAACCAAGGACTGATTTCTTCAAGTCGTAAGAGGTAACTGGCCCGTTTCTGTGCTCTTTGCTGCAAACTCAGCATTACCTATTACAAAGAAATTTTTTTTCTTTTAAGTTGAATTCACCTTAACAGTCAGCAGTAAGAACAAAAACACCCATCAAAGCAGACTTAATGATGTCATCTTCCAGAAAACAAAGGTTTTTCCTAAACTCCTTTGTGCCCTTGCCATGCGGCTAATCCAGACACAGTTTAGGATGAAGATTACAAAAACTAAACAACATCCTCTATGCAGCAAATATACCCTGTGCAGTGATAGGAACCAAAGTCACAACAAATCATGCTCCTCAAGAGGTTTGCTCCTGTATTTATAAATATCTGAGCTGTGGTTAAAGTCAGCAGCATTCAGCAACCTTGAGTTTATGTATCTGAATGCTTGTTTGTTCTGCAAAGAGAAAAGAAAGTACAAGTAAAAAAGGCCTATTTGCACATAAAGCCTCTGTTCTGTCTAGCAAGGTTTTAAAAACACCAGGCTGGCTCTGGATAGACATGTGAATACTTTGTTTCTCTTCACACCCAAAGACAAACTCAAACTAAGAGAAGATGACATAATTGAACAAGGACCTCTAGGTAGGGTTGATCATTTGAAAGCTGCTGCATAGCCCAAGGATTAAGCTTAGATAAACATAATTAACTTGTTAAAACTTGAATTAACTAAACTCAAATACCAGAGTTTCAGAAAGACAGTATTTAAAAGAAAGAAAGCCTTCTGCTCCCAAAGCTGCCAGCATCCAAGACAACAGAAGATGCAAGATTTGAAAAATGTAATTTCAATGGGTAGAAATGCAGTAACAGACAATCAATACAAATGGCTAGAGGCAAAAAACTATGGCACTTTAGTGCCCAGTTTGCCTGTGCTGACTGCTGAAAGACAAAGCTTCAGGCTGCAATTTTGATATGGTAAGAGAACAGCAAGAGAAGGAGAGGGTCAAGCACATGGTGCAGCAAGAGCAGCAAGTGTCTCTACATTGTATTCTTCCTCTTGCATGTAATACCTCTTTAAATGGGAGCCAGCTGCTTCCAGGTTTAGCAGGATTCAAAGGATTCTTAAGCTTCTCTAGTGCATTTTCAATTGCATCTCCATAGTTATCCTGAAACCACTTCTCATGAGGAGTTTCTGCAGGAGCTGCAGTGATGCTCCTCACGTGTTCCAGAGCAAACACAATGGGCTTCATCAGAGCTGTGTGCTTTTCACGCATGATTGCTATTTTCTCCTCTCTGTTATAAAAAACACACAAAAACCTCCTCTTAATGCCATAAAACCAAGTTCTCGTAAGGACAGCATTACACAACAAATGAGACATCGAAGAACTCACAAAAATTATTACTTCTCAAAAATGAGATCTTCAGTTATGATCATATTAAAATGAAGAGTATTTCATTCCACCTTGAAAAAGTATTCCTCTGAACCACACTTTCTTAAAAAAAAAAAAAAAACATTTGAAATGCATTGTTCACCACCAGAAACCCTGATTAGGATCTTTGAGCAGAAATCACTTTAAGCAAGTGATCTCCTTTAATAAAGGACCTTTTTATTACTACTTGTTGAGGATGCACCACACTATAAAGGAGAAGGCACAGTCAGATCATTCTATTCTCCTACTCCATGTCAGTCCTGACTATGGAATTCAAGAGGCATTCTTAAGTTAAGCCACATGTCCAGTGAATGGATCTGCTCTTCCACTGCTCTGTTCTCAGGAGAATCCAGGTGAGGGAAAAAGACAAGACTTGCTCAACAGTGAAAACTAAAATCAGATTAAGACATTCTTGTTTACTCCAAATATCAGCATTCAAAGTGATGTCTAAATAAATTACACCATTTAACATGCTTATACTCATTTCATCTGACTTGGAAATGGAGAACTATAGGATCTCATCATCCACACCACAATATACACTGGGTTCTAACACATTATTACTAAGGAAACCACAACATGGATGCACAGGTAGACTGTTTCTCTCATTTGACTGGAGAAGTAGCTGTAACATAAAATGTTCTTGAAATAGGATCCCAAGGCTTACAAAGCAGCAGCTGGGATAGTACAGATTCAGGAACACCACTGCTGGTTCATTTGACTGTTTACTTCCCCAAGAACAAACATTTGTTATTATCCCTTGTATTATTGAAACAGACATACTTCCGTAAAGTGTTGTTGTTTTGGACCCTCTTGACCTCATCTTCCAGCTGTTGAATCCGTCTGAGGACGTACATGTGCTGCTGCAGTAGAACTCCCAACCAAAGCTCATCCCAGAGAACTGTAACTCTGCGCAGCTCAGCCACAAGCATCTGAACCTGGATAAAGCAAGATTCACTTTTCAAAAGAACTAAAATTAAGATCTGTTTCAGTAGATGAACAAGTTGGAAAAAAGATAGAGACACAGCAAACTTTCAGTAGGCCAACACCCAAGACATACTAATTACATATTTGTTTTTCAAGTACCCAAGCAATATACATTTGAATTATTTACCTGCAATACCATTGTTGGATTTGCAGCAGAGAGTTTCTCCACGATTTTGCTGTAGCAATCTTGCATCATTGCTTGATCTTCATTTAATCCAGCTTTTGTATCATCTTTACTACTTTCTTGGGAAGCTGGAGTGCTCCCTCCATCACATTCACCACCCAACAGTTCTTCTCCTTGTATATTACCTAGCAAAGTAGGGATGGCAGAAGGCAGCTTGTTTCCTAAATTAAAACCAGATTATAAAATATTAGCTATAGTAAAATGTATCAGTCCAGTTTATTCAGCATCAGGTACATCAGTACATTAAGTACTGGTGTAGTATAAGAAAAATTTGCAAAATCTGGTAAATCGGATTAAAAATATCAGTGAGTTCCCTTAATAAAAATATTCTTAAGATCAAAACTGAGAAAACAAAAAAAACCACCTCAGTATCATCCTACCCAGTAGATAAAAATATAGTAGCTTAAGTTTATTTGAACACTTTTTCCTCTTCTCCATACCTGAAGTCTGGGATTCACTGCTAAGTGAAATGGTTCCCACTATTGCAGGATAGAGGATGAGATGAGGAGAATCCTGAGCAACTCGACAGAGTAAGTTGCAAATGCTCTGCCGAACGTACACTTCTGGGTGATTCAGGCGGGAGAAAAGCTGGGGAATAATTCCTGCAGAAAGGGGAAAAGGAAACGTGCTGATTCACTTCATTCTTCTTCAAATGAGACAGAATTTTATTTTTAAAAGCATGCCTCTTTTTTTGAATAGGGAGAATGTAAATCAAAGAAGTACAAATCAATTTACAAAAAAGTCCAAAAGAAAGTGCAATTTTACAATAGGTGCCTCCCTTTCTTTGCCTCCCACACTAACTCCATAACCTTTGAGGGGAAGTCCCTAAACCACCAGAACCTGCAGTGTAATGACAAACAACTACTTCTGAAACGTGTGGCTTTAGTCACAGATCTTTCTCAACTATAACTAGAAAAAAACCCACCTTGTTTGTTTTTTAGAGTGGTCATATGATGTAATACTCCCCAAACCACATCCCCTTTCTCATTTCTATGTCTTCAAATGGGGGAAGGAGGGGATCAAAATCTGTGCTACTTATCTACTTTACAATCAGAGCGTTATCAGACTCTAGCATCTTCAATGACATCATTTAGTAAAAGACAGGGTCTCTTTTCCTCACACTTAAAAATTTTATCAAAATGCAATGAACACCTTTCTGCATTTAGAGAAAATGTCTCAATATCAATTTTAACAGCTAGATAACACATGCTTACCTCTCCAAGGAGCAGTAGGTGTAGTTTCTAGCCCATGCTCCAGATACTGTCTAAGTTCTCCAGCATGTTTCACAAGCAACCGTAACAGTCTCAGGGTTGCCATCACAATTACATCATCAGTGCTTTGCTCAGAGGTGTTTCTCAAGTGCAGTCTGGGATCTTCTTCATCAAGTGGAACCTTGAAACACATAAATACTCCTCTAAGTTAAGTATATAGCTCATATCCTCATTTATAAAACTAACTTGGTTTCCACATCAATACTAACCTGACCAGCATTGAGTTTGAGGAAAGTAAAGTATGCGCTGCAGGACAGTTTATAGAGACTGAAGATTCTGTCCACAACTTTCCTCCAGACTTTAATTAATCCTTCTGTTGCATTTTCATCAAGATCTGAAAGCCAGGGACAACTTGTTAATAACTGACGCCATATCACATCCACCATATCATCTTCTTCATTGTCCTCATTTTCAGTGATTTGTAGAGTCATATCTTCATCCTAAACGCAAATAAAGGGAAAGCAGGTTTGATTAAGTCCTCCAGCAATTTCTACAAGCAATCTTAGTTCCTAAGTCAATTTTTGTCTAGCAGCTCATGCAACTGCATTACTCAATCACATTACCATAATTCATCCAACAGGTAGGTTACCACACAGCTAACAGATGGTTTCTTGTAGTGTCTGAATTTTAACTTAAAAACATTTACAAGAGTTAACATGAACTGCAAGAAGAGGAAAATAAGGTTCATGCTGAAGCTGAATGTTTTTGTAAGCAAAGAAATCTACACTCACTTGAATCCCAGCTGGCCGACACACTGCCTGCCCAAGAATGCCGTAGATTTTCTCTTTATCCTCCTCTGCAATGTTGTCTGGTAGCAAGTTCTGAACCTCAGATTTCTCCCGGGGGAGCAGCCGAACACCTTCTCCCTGACTGTAACATTGAATGAATTATTGATGCCCATTACATGAGTATTTGTAGAGCTACTGCAAGTCTACATAAAAAACTTTTTGAAGGAAGAAATCATCATTATCTCAGAATTAAGTTAGCTTTGTTCTACAGAGGGCAACTAACCAAAAGAATATTCATTTCTCTGCTCACATGAAACTTCAGACCACATACAACTGTAATCATAAATACACAGATATGGTTTATCTTAAGAAAACCAATTGTACTGTATAAATTCAAGCATTAGGCTGTATTTACCTGGCATTATCAACTACTTTGCGGCCCCATCTATAAGCCCAGCTAGCCAGGGCTGCCCAAGACTTGGCTACTTCAGGTGCCTGTACTGAAGACAAGTGATACAGCTGGCCCAAGATGAAGTCTGGTTCTCCAACTCCAATGTTTACTGTGATGGGAGAAATAAGAGTAATGTGTGTTACAGTGTAACACTACTTCTGCCTTCCTTAGCACAGAAAATAACACCAAGAAATAATGGATATACAGTATTTTTTAGTAAAATTAATACCCAACAGTGCAAAATTTTCCAAAATTTTCCATTTGCCAACAACCACTGCTGATACTCTACAATTCCCTCCTCTTTCACAGAGAGGTGGAACTGAGGCAAGGAACTCATGACCTCCAAAGGAGCACAGTGCTTCAGAGAGAAGGCGTCTATGAAGTACCCAGGGCACTGTGGTTGTATCTATTTGTGTATACATTTATTTTCTTCACCATCAAGTCAGAAAGCACCTACTGTTTGACATCCACCAACAGCTCTACAATAAGTCTGACTCTGCATGAGAGGAATGAAGTTATATAGGAAATCCATGTTTAAATGTTAAGATAAATTCTGTATTTCTTTAAAGAAAAGTCGGCTGGAAACTAGGAATGAGAACACATTTCTGCAGCAACAGCAGAAGTGTTCGGATTTAGTACAGATTAAAGACAGTGGAAAAACCTAAAGTACTTTTCACATTTATGGGGGCCTTCATAACATAAATCCTGTCCATGCTTAAACCTGAAAGATCTAACTCAAACTTTAGCAAATACACAAGCTGAAAGCAAACACACACGGCAATAACTGATATCCTCAACACAAAACATATCTCAGTTTCTTCCTTAGGCCACCATTACTTGAATGAGAAAAATGTGACAGAAATATAAAATATCAGTATTAAGGTGTTCGGCTTTTTTAACTGTGTATAGTTACCAATTGCAAAAAATACACACCCTTGACACATGAATTAGGAAAACAAATACATTACATAAGTGATGGAGCACAGTCTTTATCAAGATAACTGGTGCTACCCCTCACTATATTTATCAGTAACTAATTTTAAAAAAGAACAACGGGAACAAACATACCTGTAGATTCACTTTCAATCCTAGGATATTCATCTTCTAGTGTATTAACAGCTGGCAGATTAATCAAATTATATATGTTTTTAGACAAGGTAGACAGGCCAGTGTGATTCTGCTGCTGTTGAGCTCTATATACTTGTTTCAACTGTCCTGAGATCTCTTTCCATTCTGCTTGAATCCATTTAGCCAGTGTGAGAATAGATTTAGCAACTGCATATTCAGCTTTGGCAGATTTACAGAAAGATATGGCACAAGAACTCAGCATTTCCATAGCATGTGTTGACTGACCTGCATATCATGAAAAGCAGATTTTCAGTACACTATTATTTAAAACAATTCTGAAATTCAGCACATTCAGATACAACTTTTAGCAATGTATTTTTACACATAAAATTCTCTTTTGAAGAATTACAAGCATGAAAAAACTTGTGAAAACACTATCAGACAGACAATAGCTAATGAGATTAAATCAGTTCCTAATGATACTGCCCTGTTGTGGCTTCTTCAAGGTAAGGGGAATTAATCTAGTTTTAAGGCTAAGAAGTTCAAGTCACTAGAACACAACACTCACCTGCTGTGTATAACAACTTTGTTTTCTCAATATCAAGTTCAGGACCCCATTTTTCATCTATCTGACCCGGTGCAGACAATTTTTTAAAGTGCTGGACTAAGTCCTGTGCTGTGGTGGTTTTCCCCAGCTGGACCTCGCTGCACTGGGCGAGCAGTCGTGTAGCCAGGGCGATGTTTCCTCGCTTCCGTGCAAATTTCGCTGCTGTTAAACCCAGTTCCATTAGATGGCTTTTAATTGGGACTGTAGGTTCTAAAGGGAGCAAGACATTGTAAACCAAAGTATTAAACCACTGTCTGACACACAGAATTTCTGCCCAATATACTGTGTACATGGGCATCAGTAAAAATTGCTTCAGAAATTTATATTACTTTATTTCTTCCTAGAATATTTATATATCCCATCTTGAACAAAAATTCTATCTATAGATTATTTGCTGGGCAAAAGAGTTTTTTCCACTATAACCATTCTTCTTAGCTAATAAACCTACTTGTCCCCTGACAGAACATTTTTTCTCCCATTTTCTTATCAAACTGTACATTTAAATGGCTCTCATGACTGTGAAGACCCATTATTCATAATGTTGATATGTTCAAAAGTGAAAGCAGTTAAAGTATGACATGATGAACAAGTAAGGGGTTATTAGGAAAGTAGTATACAACACTTCAGAATGTTGTTTTTCTTTTTGACACTGTCTACATCACAGGACTAATCAAGACAATGAGCAGTAAAGCAAGGCACCTGAAGGAAAAAACTTGGTTTTTAAAAAGTATTCCATCTGAAATACTACAAAATGACACATCTGCTGCTTTCAGCAGATAACTTAAGTTCAAATTCTGCATTTGCTTTTCATAACACCATAGTGAGAGCTTACAGACCTTTAAGCTTTTCCATCAGTTGATTCTGGTACACCGTGTACCTCAGGGCATGCATCCATGGCCTTACATCGTGCTGCTTGCATGACCTCAACGCTTCATTGAAGAGAGGTATCAGACAGTCCTGCAAGGGGCACAGAAGTTGCACAGCTGTCATGAGACAACTTTACTACAATGCACTTTCATTAATTAAAACCAAAGACCATTTTTAGAGCAAGCATTCTTGTTTATAATAGTGACCACACTTTAGCATTAACTAGAAGAAATATTTTTTTATGCTTGATTTTGAGAGGACAACACTAAGAACTGCTCAAAAATCAAGCAGAATTGTCTTCTGAGCAATGTGATTAGAAATTACATCTAGAACATCCATAGCGGTTGAAGTCTGACATTCAGTGTTTAATTGCTAAAGTAATTTTTTTTATTATTTTTAAGTTGCTTTGAAAGTAAATTAAATGCATGTTACAATGTATTCAGAGAAGAAATACCAATACTCCAAAAGGCAATTATCAATAACACTTCAAAAATACTGTAAATTGAAAGAGAGGTATACTTTTAACAATAGAGAGAAGGCCAATTGAGATATAAACTTACAAAAACTTGGATCAAGGCACATTAGAAAACTAAATGAGGTCTTCTTACAGTATGATTAACAGTCAAAACAATTAATGTATGTTTTGTATCCAACACTCCACAATATGACATAGCAAAAGACATTATCCAAATTTAGGTTTTAAACACACAGAATTACCTCTGATGTCAGCCTGTTGCATACAGTGTTTTCCAAAGCGGAAGAACAGTACAACTGAAGAGTGCTCAACACTGGTAACGACTGAGACACGGTGAGCGTGGAAAGTCTCAAAGGCCCAATAGCAATGCGGGAGGTTTGCTTTAAGTACTTTACAAGATTTCTGAAATTAAAGGATCAGGACAGTAATTTTTCTTAGCTAGACTTTAAGAGCAAATAGTGGTATCAAAATTACTGAATTAAAAACAAAATCAGTATCTTTAAAAGGATGGTGAGAGAATGTTGCAGTATGATACACGTTACATTACAATACTTTATTATTAAGCTGACACACAGAAGTACTTTATCAACTCAAGCATTTTATAAACTATATGAACCCCAAGTTAAATATTATCTTATTATTCCTCAGTAAGCTTATAACTCACAACAGCTAGCACTGCCATGGATGCTGAAGCTTTACAAAGAGTTATGCTTAACAAACGAATACAGGTTTTCACAGTGCATTACATTAATTCATAGCACATTTCAACTTACTCAGATATTGACTGCCACTTTTGCTCCTGTTCTATGTGGTTTACAGCTGTTGCCAGACATACTGAACTTCTCAACAGCTGCACTTCAACTGCTTTTTGAAGTTCTCTTGGATCAGGACTTAGCATATTAGGAAGGAGCTTCTTCATGTCTACATGGAGATTAAACAATTGAAACCAACTAGAACTGCCAAATCTTGTTTTTATTTATTTTATAATTTTATCTCGTTTCACCATCTGATAATGCATTTTTCACAGGAAGTTAAAAAATATATTTAAAAAGTATATATTTTATATGTGTATATATTCATAATAGAAATTCATCACATGTTGCTTATAAACAGTCACATTAACTCCAGAAACACACTTGTATCAATGTTTAGGATGACCACTGACAGTCATTTTTAAGCTTGATTCATAATGGTTATAGTCAGTCCACTGAACACAGCAAATTGCATTCAGAAGTTTCAATCTGTCATTTAGACAGATACACAAAGAAATATTTACTTTTGCACTTGAAGTAAATATTAATTAATGCATTTATACCTATTTTTTCTTTGGATCCCCCTGCAAGCAGGTTGATATTTTCTCCTGGTAATAATTCTAGTTGTTCAGTGCATTCAGCAAGTTGTCCAGACTCAAAGCTGCTCAAAGATCTGCAATTCAACATTTATAGTTTTATTTCCATATTTTTTACTTCACTCCAGTTGCCAAGTGTATTACACAGCAAAAAGAAAAGACTCAAGACTAACTCCAAATCCTACAATCATGCAGGAATGGAAAGCAATCAAGTCGTCTTTGAAGGTCTAGTCAATGTTAGATGTATTTTTTCATGAACTACAAAAATATCAAAGGTGGAAATAAATGCACAAGCTACAGTTCTAAATTTCATTTTAAAAAGAAGCAAAACTAAAAAACTCAGTGGCCAAGACCACTTCTTTCCAATATTTTTTCTATTAAATTAGTATGTTAAGATATTTTTAAGAACCACTGAGACACATTTTATTTAAGTTGTGCAAAAGGATTCATCTTCTGCTGAGTAAAGCAGAATAAATTTGGTATCTTTTATTCTTCAATTAAAGATTTTTTTTCTTGAATACTAAGCAGCCTCAGCAGCCAGAAAGCTACAGAAGCTATTTAAAATGTTACTTCTTCACCCATTTGTAAATGCCATGGCCATGTTTTCACCCTCCCAAGAACACACCTTTCTTCTTTGTATGCCTCTACTTAGAAACTGACATCCAATTTTAAAAATCCATTGAAACTTTAATACTTCAGTTTTAAAACAATGAACTCTAATGTACTGTTGAATAAATGAATTATACCCTTACTTTATGTAGTTAAAATCTGCTTTCAGATTGATTGAGGTATTGCTATTGCTTTTCTTCAGTTCATGGACCATGTTTTGCCACTCCTGAACAGCAGACCAGTCAGCAATGGAAATGTAACATTCACATGCTTTGTTACCCAGGTAGTTTATCACTTCAGGTGAAGAGTCACTTGGCTTAGTCAGAACAGTTTTTCTACTTTCTCCTGTGAAATGAAAAAAATTTATATAAACACTCAATTAAGTATATATTTTCAAACAGCAGTTCTATTACTCAAACATTATTTCCATGTGTTTTGTCAAGAAAAACTCTTTAATTAAAAAACAATGAAATAGTTACACAACTTTTACAGTATTCTTCCACTAATACTTTTTCTAAGGGAAAAGAGAACCTTTTCAAATAAGGTTCAAAAAAAATTTAGTTTATATCTGTAAAGGAGCATCAAAACAGAAAAACAGAGCAACTAAATTAGGAACAAAGGAGGCTCATTTCCAAAGATGAAACAGAATATTGCAACCAAGTCTTAGAAGTTAAAAGTCTCTGAGTAACTAGTGCATTTATGATACAACTATGTCATAAACACTAAGGTCTAAGTTATGATGATCTAAAATAAACTAGATTTAAATTAGTAAGTTACAAGATATTTTACCTATTACCTTTAGTTTCATTCAGCTAGACCTCAGTCCTGCAAACCCTCCTATCTACACATAATATTGGTTTCAAGGGCATTAAAGTGGTTCAGTTTAACTGCAGACAGAAACAAGTTTTCAGATTTCAGAGTCAGACATTACCATGGCTGTATTACTAAATGTTCTCATTTTATGCACACACATTTACAGATGCAGTTGTGTTTCTCTTAAAAAACAAACACTAACCATTTAAGGAATGCTTTGGGCTGGCGTTGTTCACACTGTTTGAATTGGCCAACTTCAGAACAGTCTTGTCAAAGCCTGCTATACAGCAATCCACTCCAGTCATGGAGCAGAGGTGCTCCTGGTATTCTGCAGTTGCTTTTTCAAACCTAAAAGTTCAATATTTCAGTTAGCATCTTAAAGAACCAGGTTGGGGTGGGTTTTTTTTGTTGGTTTGTTGTTTTTTTTTTTTTTTTTTTTTGGGGGGNTTTTTTGGGGGGGTTGTTGTTTTTTTTTTATAGACTAGATTTTGAGCATTATTTTACTCCAATACTCAAAAAGCTCATATCACCTTCAGCAAAAGAAAGGGATTAAGATAGGACACAAGTTTACTGGCTGAATTTCCAGGCTGTAGCATTTGATAAAAGCTCATCCATAGAACTTTTAATGTCAACTTCAAATCAAGTAGAGACAGAAATAAAGGAGTTTGATATTTGACTGTCACAATTTTATTCTGAATGAGCAGAGCTGAATACTGATTAAATACATATTACATCTCTGAAAAGATTCACTGAGTGTAATTAACATGGAAATTCATCAGCAGCCTTGACTCATGCCACAGTTTAAAAGATTCGGAAGCAAAACTTTCCCTAGAAGGAAAAAAACATTCAAGTTTATAGCATCCAATTATTTGTGAAAACTTACCGCCCTTCTGCTTGCTGAGCTACAGAATTGATCCAGGAGAGGCTCTTCCCAACTACAGCAGAAGACCAGACAGCAATACCCTGAATAGCTTCAGGACAGTGAAGCTCACATAATGCTTCTACCAGCATCATAATTGTCACTTCCAATTCATTTCCCTAAATCCAAACCAAAAGCATTATTTAACAAAACACATCTAATGCAAGAGCCATGTGTCTGTGAGTGAGTACTCAGAAATGATGAAGCAGCATTTCATTATACACATCTACAAGTGCTCCTCACATCCATCCACTGCACTGCTTTTGGAAGAGCAGGGGAGCCAAGGGAAAAGTTTGTGCTGTGAACCCACAGCCTGAACATCAATGGTTAGCAATGACTGTTTGGTGGTTTTGTACCTGTATGAGAATTCATAAGGGAGCACAAAGTACCAAATAGCTATCAAACCACCTTTGGGAAAACATTTAAGCAAATCAAGTCATGTACTGAAGAAACTACCCAACCCTTTCAAGAAGGCTGCAACTACTTTATCCACCCATCCCACCCCTGAACTTAGCTGCTAGTTAGAGGAAGGATACCCCAATGACACAACCCTACTTCTCATACCCACAGGTAAGCAAGGACATCACACTACCACAAGCTTGGGATGGCCTCACACTAATGCAGCACCAGTTTCACAAGGTTTCCACTAAATTAAAAATTGCTCAACTGAAAACATGAATTAACTGTAACATTCATTCCTGTGTAGTATTTGACCACATACATGTGTTCAGTACATCCTAACCTCCAATCCACAGTATCATAACCACAATAAAAACATACAAATTAAAAATGTGGCTTTAAATAACTCATTCTTTTACATACCACTTGGTTTAGTAACTACTGGTTGCCTTAGCTTAGTTCTTTTAGAACATCACGGTGAATATTTCTGCAATAGTCTACAGAGTTTGAAAAGAGAGTACCTGAGAGATACTATTATTAGTTTTCATTTCTGTGAGTAAATCAAATCCATGCCTGACTGTCACAGCAGGCTGGCCAGCCAGCAGTCCAACTCTCATGATGGAAAGTCTAATCCGTGTCAGCCAATCCTGGCACGTCTGGCGATTGGTATAAAAGAACGTCCTGATAACCTTCAGAGACAGGAAAGAATTTTCACAACAACATTCTTCTGCACAAACCAACATAATTGACTATTTAAGATTGACATCAAAGACCGGAAGGTTTATTTTCTCCAGTTTTCAATTGACCTTTGATTTTATTCATGTAAATGGTCTGGAATCACATGTAGCATGCAACTGGCCAGGCACACTGGCAGGCCAGAAGTCTTAATATGAACTGACTATAAATCATGTATTATTGTCACATCAAAGTCAAGCTGCTTATTTCAACAGTGAAGAATGTTTTGGACTTAGAGCTTCACAACAGGGTATGTTGCTTATAATTACTACGCTCCCCAAAAAGCAATTAAAGTTTTAGATAACTGTGTTACTTTATAAAAGGGCTGCTGACAATCTATAAATAAGTGACTGCTACAAATCAGAGGTACTACAAGTATGCTGGATTTGTACCACTATACAAGCTGGTACTCCAGAAACAAAGCCTGGTTTAACATGTTCTGTAGGAATATGCCAAAGTTAAGGCCAGTGTTTTTTAAGAGACTCAAACTTTTGAGATGTTTTTCTGGAATTCCATGACTAAGAACTGAACAATCCTGAAGACACTTTTATTCACCAGACTATTCCAAACAACATCAGCATTGCAAGACAGACAAACCTTGGGTGGAGAGGTAAGGGCATTGGCACATCCTTCATATGCATTGTACATCAATTTTTCCAAGTTTTCCAAATACTGGAGAAGGAGAACAAGCCTGAGCTGGTTGCTACTGTGTCCTTCATCATTGTCTGCAGTAGTCCACTGGCTGACATCTTGATCAGGGTTTAATGTGTGGGCTGCAAGACTCCTAATAATACCTGCACATTTTACCAGGACAGGGGAAAAAGTATTACCAGATGGCACTGTATTTAACTGTGCAAAGAGATAGCAGTGCTATCTCTCATAATTTACCACAACAGTAATTATGCAGCATCTTTAAAATCAATAAGCACTGAAAAATAAAGGCATTGTGCCTCTTGCTTTAGACATGAACACCTTGCATCACAACCTTACAAAAAAATATCCTCAAAATAAAGTGTATTTTTTACTTTACCTTCAATTGTTTGAAATGTATCTTGGGCTCTCCCCAGAGGAGTTCGTAGCTTTGAGAGAACAGTGAACTGAGCTGCTTCCCAGACAGCCCACTGCCACAGCACAGCATCAGTCTTCAACAGGTTCCGAGGGATAGTTGGCTGATCTCTCTTATCTAGTCTTTGACAGCTGTAGAATAACCTTTCTAACCAATTATCCTTCCTGAAAGAAAACATCAATGCATTAACAAGTTTATACTGTACATACTTCATCTCCCTATTGTTCACAAACAAATCTCTCACAAAATTAACTTCCCAGCAGCAGTGCACATAGGAAAATATGCCAAAAGGTGTGTAGGCAAGATGTTTATAACTACTTAAAAGTATAAAAAAGTTTGAAAGCAAAGCAACGTAGTTTGTAATGATAATTGCAAATTTTACGCTAAATGTAACTTGGACTTGTTTACTATAAATTCAACATTCATAGATTTCAGTTCTGTAAAGAGTTTTTACCCAGTTCGGTGGAGGTTTCCATACAAAATAAAACTAATGACATCAGAGAAATCCTGTGGGTGGAATGTGTTACTTGGAGCTTTGCTCATGTGACTTCTTATAGCCAAAGAAATTTCTTGTATTTCCGTGTGGGTACGGTTACTGCAGGAAGAGAGGGAAAACAATCCAGGTTGTAATATACTTGAATAAACCAAAAAGAGTTGTGTAAGAGTTACACACACACTATATCTATATGGAATGACCAGAAGTAATTACATGTTTTGGTATGAATACCAAGTGCTTTCAGAATTCAGGTCTTCAAGGACTTAATACTGCTGAAGCTCTGGATAACAGGGACCTTACAGACACTCAGTGTTTGATTCAAGAAGTGATGCACAGCTTACCAAATTTATTATTTACTTTGTGTACTTCATACTGTTTTTAGACCCATAAAAGCATAGGAGATATAACAAGACACTTAGAATCATAGAGGACTGGATGAGACCTTTAAGATCATCAAGCCCAGCCATCAACCCAGAACTACCATTGTTCAAAAGGCTCATGCCTTTTGATTTTGAACTAAGACAGCATGTTGACAGTCCACTGGCATTATTTTTCAGGTTAAATGTCTCTGAAAAAAACAAAAAACATTATTTACACTGAAGTTGGTCTGAGCAACTCACCTCAACACAACATCTAAACGAATTGACTTCAGAAGTTTTCCAAAAGCTTGTCTCACACGGGCACCACTATGGACAAGTTGAACACGACACACATCAACACACCTGCAACACCAAAAAGGAAAGAGGTGTTAATACCCTATGATCAGCATAATAACATACATTCAAATAACACACAGAACACTGTGCAATTACCTCTGTAAAAGGTCATCTGGAAGGGAGGAAGACAGGGCATGGAGGCTACTACATGCTTGAAGACAAATGTTCACATCTTCCAGAAGTGCTGAATTAAGGAGTTGAAAGGAGAAAAAAAAAGTTATTTTTACTGTAATTAGGTAATTTCTCCATTACTCTGCATTTGTTCCTATATTTTTTACAGATTCTGGAACCAAATACATCACAGAACTGTTCCAGTGCTTTTGCTAAATGATTTGTGACTGGGAAATTGATCTACCAAAAATGTTAGTGATGCATCAAATCTCTTAGGATTGCAATTTGTTTTAAGAAAATTAATTGCTTAAATAACAGGCAGGGACCCACTTAAAAAAAAAAAAAAAAATCATAAAAAGAGTGCAAGTTCCTGCACAATACAATCTTGAAGCATCCTTAAAGTAAATGAAACAAGTACAGTTGCTACCATCAGTGGGACAAGGCTATTTATGTACTTAATTTTGAAATGTAAAAGACAGTTAAGTAAAAATATGCAGTATCTTACTGTTTGCTAAAAGTCCTTTGCAAAACTTATGAAAAGATGGGAGAGAAAATAACGGTGTATATGTTTCTGATTTCTTCATCAGAAGAGCCACTTCCAAAGCCCATGTTGTAAGTAGTTTCCTTCAAAAACCAAGAGTTTAGTCACTCTACACAGTTACAGAAAGGTACTTTCTGATAGAATTTACACTACTTCACGTTGTTCATCAGTATCACACCATAGCTCAGTTTCTAAACAAGGTATTTCTTAACTTTAAAGATGTCTCCAGCTTTCACAGCATTTTGGTAACACAGGATGGCAACTATTGCAAAAGTACTTTCAGTGAGCAAACCCTTTCTTTCAGTAAAGTTTGATAGTTCTGCTCTACTGAATAGCTCTGGGGATGGTTTAAACTTTTCCAGTTTTCATGTATAAAAAAATGAGCAGCTACTTTTTCCAAAATTTCACTAATACTGCTTAAAAACCCCAAATATTTGACTGGTTAAATTTACCCCAAGTTTTACAAATTCAAATTAACCTTGTTTTTGCATTAATGTATCCTACTGGACAAAAACAAATTGCCCAATTTCTATGAAAATTTTCCTTACCTAGTATCTTGAGTAAGGTTATCCTTCTTAAGCAGTAGCCCCAAAAGGTTCAGTATGATCGAGAAATGTTTTTTTGTTGCTGTAGTTACAGTACTTATAACTGCTCCATCAAACAGAGAGGGAGAGGAAGAACTGAGGCTACTGGATATGAAATGGTCGTGCCTGAAAGGGCAAGGAAAAACAAACTGTAAAACTACCCCAAGATTAGTTTACAGGAGGAGAGAAAACATCAACAATCAGCAGCAAAAGTTAAATGAACACATACACACAAATCACACTGTTAAAATCCAAATATTTTGATCCCTAGCCTAAAAGAACAAAGCTACAATTTGCCATCAGTCCATGCAGGCCAGTAATCTGTTCTCAAGTGTGTCTGGTATCCAATGCTTAATGAAAAATCACCACAGCTAAGAATGTAAAGAATAACAGAATTCTATATTCCCTTCCTTTAACAACAGTTTGTATTAATAAGGTCTAAAATGTATTTACATCTGTTGTTTATATCACATTACCTCTCCCAGATCTCTCAGTAAGTAAAATAGTAAATAATCTTTCCTTATTTACTTTCAGTAGAGTTCTCACTCAGTTATCTCTATTCAAACACAAGATTTCTAATCTGCCTTCGAATGAAAAGCAACTTTAAGCCAGGATATCGTCTCCTGGCTGAGATACAGTTTCCCAGCAATTAATGAAATTAAAAATTAATTAAGGAAGTTTGGGCAAAAGCTTGCTTGTAACAGCCTATTTCATTTCATCCCTCCAACAATATATTCTAGTCTCATCAGTTCATCCTAGTGCTCCTAACATATGCTGAATTATTCAAGCTCATACCTGGAGCAGTGTGAGTACAGTGTGTAGAGCACTGCATACTGGACAGCAGGGAAGTGAACTGCTATGTCACCATGAACAATCATCAGGTTTTTACTCAGCAGTGCAAACACAGTTGGTGAAAGAGCCCACATCTATAAAACAATTGCAACACAAGCAGAAAACCATAAAAATTAGGATCTACTTTTAGTTGTCATTTTCATACCATGAATTAATGTCTTTCCCTTTTTCCCCACAGGAAATAATTTAACTCTATTGTTTTTTGACTTTAATTATTTTCTTTCCAATCTTTTAGAAGTCTGTTAAAAGTAGTTCATGTTTTTATATGGAAAGATCTAGAAAGTGTTTTCATATAGCTGATATACTACCAAAGGACACCCTACAGCTGTTTTTATCTATCTTGAGTTTCAAAAGCAATTACTATGCTGATCTTAGCATTAAACCCTTAATAACCCTGATAAGATGCTCTTCCCTAGAAACTGCTTTTCATTATGCAACAATTAGAAATACAATCCACCCATTGTTTCCCCTAAGTTTTAATACTGAATGTTTTTCTAAATCTTAGGAAGTTTGGAGACAAATATCATCATTTTAGTTATATATATGTGTCCTGCTGGTGTAATACATTAATTTTAAGTAACCAAGTATTTTTTACACTTATTGCATGAACTGTCTGTTGAGTTTTTACTCACCCCAATTAATGAGTTTTTAGCATTTCCAATAGTACTTAGAGCACTGAGGTCAAATATAACAACAAACTTGGCATTATCCACATTGGATATAAGCTTCTTGAAAGAGTCATGCTGGATTTCGGAACAGGCCTCAGGAAGATGTAAACTATGGAGAAGACTATTTAAAGCACAGGTCATTTCTCCTAGAATCAACCTGTAAGCAGTCTCCAGAACAGGAATGTTCTTCAGGCTCAATACAGCTTGGTATACAGCAAGGGCTGCTGCAACAACCTTGAGAACATAATTACAGCAATAACTGATTAAAACAAATCTTAAAATACATTAATCAACAACAAAGAATTTTAAATTACTCTTCTTTATCTATGAATAGCTTAGTCTGATACAGATACCTATCTTTAGTTTTCTGTACATCTTACTTACAGAATCTACTAATTATTTTGTAGATCATCACTAACACACTTGAGTATCAAAGCCAGATGAACTAAGGACTTCTCTACCTAGAATGTGGCAAACTTGCCAATTTCTTATCGAATCTAAATGCTAAAACAAAGAAGTAGCTTTATCTGCCCTTTCAGAAATTTCAGGTATTCAGTTAGACTAAAAAGTGTATTTAAGATGAGCTTTACAGCTTAATACATTCTAGGAAGTATATAAAGGCTGTTGGAATATACCTATAGAAGTTACTTACTCTTACCTCTTTCTCCTTATGATAACGAAGAACAAGTAGTTTAGACTCTGGTATAAATAATTTCTCTACAAATGATGATGGTAGCTTTGTATTTATTTGTTCAACAATCTGGGGATAAAAACCAAAAGAAGTAACTTTACCTAAATTTTTACTAATTATTAAGGATTAATCAAAATACTGTTTTTCTAGTCCCCCATAACAATAAAAACATGTACAAACCAGTGTCAACAGATTCAGGACTGAAATGACATAGTCAGTGCCACAAGTCTGACAATTTTCCATTTGATCTAATCCATAGGTGATGACCATGTCACAGCGTATGGTCATACTGGGATCCAGGCTGCCAAGCAAAACCCCAACACACTCATTGGCAGCTGTAAGCACAGCCTCAGAAAAGAACACTTGGTTTGCTGCAGTCACACATCTCATTACTCTGTACAGAACCTGCAAAATTAAAAACACAACTGAGTTAAACTCCATTAAAAAGAGATGCTATTTGATTGTATTCACACCCATTTGATATCCTGGCCGACCACCTGCTCTGCAGCTTGGTCAATTCTATTCTGAATAATGTCATCTTGACATTACACTTCAGAAGTGTAAGAAAAAGCAAGCTTTCAACTGCTTAGTATCCAATTCAGTTAGTGACCTACAAAAAAACGTAAGTTCATGATTCACAGTTCTGTTCAGTTCCAACTAATGTCAACAGAACTCCCCTTGCAAAAGATAGATGAGTTTTCTTGAGTTTTTCTCCAAGAATCCCCTGCAGATTAAGGCAGAAGTTACAAAACTGTCTTGTCTTCAACTGGGAAATCCGTACACTTATTTACCAAAGAAGTCATGCCCCTCACAAAATTCTGCAAGGGCATAAATTCCAGCAGTGCAGGTCATCCAGCAACCACAAGACTGACTGCAGGTATTTTTATCTTATCTCCTTACCCACTACAAAGCTATAACATCTACTTAGCATATTATACAATATTTATTCTGAGTTTACACTATCCTATACTATAGAGGTAGAAAAGTTTGCTATCAGATTTAATAGATACCATTTCAAAACAAATAAAAATCATTACATTTTATAAAATTAAACTCAGAACTAGAATTCAAGTTTCTACAGTGGCATAGTTATCTGAATAAACAGTAACATGGTTTCAAAGATAAGGAAACCCAGCCACATGAAGTTAAAATGTCTAAAAACATTAGTTTATGATATGACTTCTATGCGTCACTAACACAATCTATACTTTAATAAAATTATTGCATCATTATTTCTTGGAAAAAATAGATTTACTCAAATCTGAGACTATACGTATGCATGTAACGTTTGTAAAACCTAAATCAACTGAGTCAATGGCATTGCTATATGGTGACAAAACAGGTCAGCAACAAAGAAAGTCAAAGCAGATGGAGTTCTTACATCGGTTACATAAGCTTCTGTAATTGGTGGTCCTCTGATGGGGCTGAAGCGCTCCCCAATGCTCCTCACCACGGTGCTGAACACCCGCAGAAGCGCAGCCAGCTTGGGCAGCGACACCGAGGGAGGAGGAATGTCCTCATCCACCGACTCCCCAGACGCCACGTGGCTGAGGTCCTGCAGCACAAGGTTTGTGTATAAGAACATCATGAACTTGGGTGAAATGTCAAAATGTGAGACTGAAAAGACTTCATCTCTTTTCAGACATTAAACTGTACAGTCCAATTGCAAATGTATTTATCCAATGTCTCTTAGCTACGCAGACATACAAAGGAGGAATACAGGCACACAATGACAATGAGAAGTCACAGAGTAGCAATGAGTTTAGCCACTGAAATAAAGTACCCAGATATATCTTGTAAACTAAACCTGAGGCTTATGAAGTTCCTGGTCTCCAGAACATGATCATCTGTATTGCTGCACTGTTACAACAGCTGTCTGCATACTTTTACCATTCTTCCAAGAAATTCCCATCCCCAAACTGGAGTTGAGACGTTTGACTGGCCATTCCCATCACACATACAAACTAACCGACTACTCTATGCCAGCAAGCACCAGCGCCTGGGAAAGTTCCCAGAAGTGCTGATCTCATTAGTAGGGCTGCAGTCTTGCTCCACCCCACTGTGAGATAAACACGCCTCCTCCATGTTATCACAAGTTATCTTAAAACTCTTCTGTGACTAAGAATACACACATTGACCAGAGCAGCAGCCAGCTTGATAAGCAGTGATTTACTGCTCTGCCCTGTGAATCCTAAAGCTAGCTGCCCCAGCAAAGGCCCTGGTGTACAGAGAAGGACACTGACCAAATTATTGATTCTGCTTTGAGGGAAACAAATTATGCTCCAATCACAATTTTACCTACAGGACCTGCATATTAACATACACAGTGTAGTATAATTGATCTGTAAGTATGTATTCATATGAGCACATACACCTTAAAATACAGCACCACCCCCAACCCCAAAGCTCTTCCTTTAATGACAGCATCAGATAAATGCTATGCCCTGTTAACTAAGCAAAGATTACAAAGTCAAAATTAAGGACATTAAATGAATGCAATCTAGTGTTCCATCAGTTCCTGCTGCATTATTTCCTGCACAATACAATCTGCTTCTTTATTTTAAAAAGATTTATCATTAGTCTTTTAAAGCATTAAGATTTCCTCTCTCCCACTAGTTACTAGTTCTGAAACACTCTGAGATTGGACAATTAAAGAAACCACCAAGGAAAAACCATGAATTGTTTTCACATCAGCTCTTGAAAAATGAAGGCATCGTGTTTGGTCAATTGTTTATAGTTTTATTACAACACTATATTCTCAATTAACAATAGCTGAAGGCCTGGTTGTGACACTAATTAAACAGTTCATGAGCATTTGTGCAGTTGGTCATTGTACATGACTGAAGTATACTCTGCAATTTGATCCTCTTTTCTCCAGGAAAGCCACATAATTTTATTTTCTACAGAAGTAATACAACCATAAAAATCACAGCTGTGGCTTTATTAAAAAAACCGTAGCAGTTAACTCTAGTGTATACCATAAAATCTTGTTTACCTCAGCATAAGCTTCCATATCTTCCAAAAACTGACCCAAGAGTGTGGTAGAAAATGTTAGATCAGCTACCCAAAAGGGCTCCAAGCTCTGCAGCCATCCTGTACAAAAATACCAAGCCAATTAATACATGGTGACATACAATCATTAAATTTTAGTTACATATTGCTGAGGGAAAATTTGCTGAGCTAAGAGGAAATCTACATGAAAATACTAACACCAGATGTTTTTGAAATAAATATAAATTGTATCTCCCTCTTCTCTCCTTTTGCAAAAATAATTTTAAGGTTCAGTTCTGTCCCACAGCAGTTAAACCCCAAAGATAGAATCTAGGCCAGTAACACAAGAAGTATAATAAACTTGCTGTGAATAACTCATAAGAAAACTAATAAAGCTATTGGAAAAATACTCCCCACTTTTCAAATGTCAGTACGGTATCTTTATGACAAAGATTTTCTAAAAGTACATAGGAAAAAACATATCCTTTAATATAAATTTATTAAAGATTGTTATAAAATGGCACAAAACAATTGGTGTTTAACTGTACCCTGAATAAAGCATCCCATTTCCCCAAAATTATCATAAAATGGAAAATACAAATTTACTAAAAAGTTAGGAACAAAGTGTCTTGCTATATAGCCAGAAACTCAATTTGGTTTTATGTCAACTTCCATGTCAGAAGAACCAAACTGGTGTAAGTAAAACCCCAACATCTGCAAGCCAGAGCAGGCTGTGAGACCCTCCATGAGCTCCTCTGGCCAAACTTACCAGACACCTGCTGTGTCAAAGAAGGTTTCTGAGTGTGATCTATGTGCCACCCAACCAGTATGTCCACTGTGTCCTGGAAAGCAAATGTGAAAACAGAGTCATTACCCAATTTGAGCACCAACAATTCTATTGTAGAAAGAAAATACAAAGCAAATAGAAAGCTTACCCTAAAATTGGTGCTGAAAATGTGTGGGTAGCATCGAGACACCAAAAGGATGCACTTGACACACTTGCACAGTAACTCTGGTGTATCAACATTTTCTAGGATGGACTGCAGGCTGGTCATTACAAGCTGAAAAGTAAAGCAAAGCCAGCAGATATTTCACATTAAAACATGAGAGAGAACACATTGTGACAATCTACTTTGATTCAATCAACAAAACTATTCTTTCTGCAGGAACAAAATGTAAAAAGCATCACATACACAGCATGAAAATAAACACTTCAAGGGGGCATTTGCTTGATATACAGCAGACCCAGGGAACACCTTTCTTTAGCTCTTTAGCCACAGAACATCTGGTTTAACTCCTATTTCTCCTGTCAAAGCTTTTTGGCCCTGTAAAGTAATTATTAAATTGGAGCACACAACTGGCCATAGCTGTTCTACACCCAAAATAAGGAACCCTAAAACTTCTAAAAGGGGATCTCATCTTGTCTGCACACATCCTACTCCTTCTCAGATCTATCCACAATTCCAGTTAGAAATTGTAAATAGAAGGTGGTACAAAACAATCAAAGGGTCAAATCAAATCACTTAAGTTTATCTTTTTGGTCTCAAAAAGATTCTTCTTGGATCTGCCATAAATACTAGAAACTTGCACCAAATACATATCCTACAAAGACTTGACATTCTTTTCTAATGCAACTAGAATTGAAGAATCCCATTCAGTCAGAAAGTTCCCTCCCAGTTGTAATGCTATTTCCTTAATATGGCAATATAACATTACTTACTGTTCATTCCAGTTTAAAAAGTTCACTCAAGCATTGCACTGAGAAAATCATTAATAATCATGTTTTAACTCGTAGTCTTACCTGCATTAAAGATGAAAATGCTTTCTTTTCTCCTACAGTCTCTAGTGCTTTGTAGGTTGCACACAAATAAAGAAGTTTAACTTCATCTTTTGTGGATGAACTGAATTTGCTAAAAATCCATTTAAAGATCTTCTCAGCCTCGTAGCTCAGAGAAGCACAAAGAAGGCCAAGACAGCAAGCTCCTTCCTGTCTCAATTCCTGAAGCAATTTGCTACTATATTTTTGGAGAGAAAAAAAACTTTGGATCTCCAGCCATGACAGCAGAACAGAAGCATGAACAAAATCAAGTATTTGCTAAAGCACAAGAAAATATATGCAGAAATGAAGCTGCTTCTCTCTTACTTACTGGCAGCAGTGGTGAAGCTAAGATAAAATTCTAAGAAATATTATTTCTATGGAGTAAATCAACTTGAATAAAAGTATGCAAATGTCTGTTCTACTTCCAACACACTATCCAATAGAAATAGTTCTTAATATGCAGCTAACTCTGGGAAACAATACTGACCTAAGCACCTAAAGGCCCACAACACAGATCTCAGCATCCTCTATATACACTCTTGATTGGATGTAAATGAGTCAGCTTGTAAAAAAACTTATTTCATTTTGGAAGGTACACCACCACAGCTCCACCAGCTGAGACAGACTCCACACTACCCACAGCAACAAAGTCACACTTGTGCCTTCACATTCTCTCCAAGGGAGGTACTCTAGACAGTCCAACAGTATTGTTGATATGTCCAAGAGCCTTTATTCTCCCCAATTTTGTTCTGTTCCTGCAATGGGACACCCATGCAAAACTAGCAAATTAATTTCTCTCACTTTTCCCTCTCTATTTCAAACCTAATGCTGTCATTATTTTTCCCCTTGAGAGCATTTTTCCAGCTTACCTTTCATTGAGCACATCATGAATGGCAGTCAGGATATTATCCAGTTGTTTAACAAGGACCTGTAATATAAGAGACATAAAAGACATAAGCACAGTAATTGCCCAATACTGCCTCCATGATAGGTCCTGTTTACACCCACATTAAACACAACACTGCCAGCTCTCCTTGCCAAGAGAATGCCATTATGCTTTCCATGGCCACTGCAGACTAGTATAAACTATATTAAGCAACACTGCAATAATATCCTAGATATTATATTTGATATTTATTTACAGTAGCCATGAAAATATTGGCAGCCTGCTATCAAGATTTGTTCCAAATTTAGTTCTTGATGACAACATTACATCACCATGGGAGACTCACACAGCTCATGAGTAGCATCTACTAAAGACCAAATCCCTAATACTAATAAATCAATTATGTCACTGGAAAATTTAATGGAACCCATAATATAATCTGAAGTATTAAGGTTTTGACTTAGGCAATGCTGCATTTTAGTGAAATGGAATACAATTTTGGAGATTAAGTATTATTGATGAACCAGTGCTTCTCAGTAAATATAACCAGAAAGACTTGTTTTCCTAATATGCACTAAACCCCTGCTACATTAGTGATCTGATTGAAAAATCACACACGAGCTGCAGCTGCATAACATTAACAGGAAGATTTCTTGACAAGCTAATGAAAAGGTTTATTCTCTTTTCTTCAGAAAGACATTCCTCTAACACAGTGGATGGTACCCAGTGTTTGTTGTAAATTTTGAGCAACATCATGCTCTTGAGGATGGAGGGACAGATTCACATGCTTCACCCCTCAGAGCTCATAAGGGCATTTTGAAAACGCGTCTGGTACCCACAAGAGAGGCCAAAAAGGAAAAGACATCTCTATAACTGAGAAGCTAAAGCACAACTCCATTATCAGATAAGTGACTACTCACTTCTACTACTCTACTTTGAACTCATATTTCAACCCTGAAGATGACAAGAACTCAGTTAAACTACACTAAGTGTCAAGACCTGCAGGAACTACTGCTAGGTTAAACACTGTCCATTATGAAGTTTTGGCCTTGATATCACTTGACATCTGATCTTATTCTCATTAGTGAGCTCAGAGAAGCTTAACCAAAAGCTTCTCAGTGACAGACTTTTAATATTCTGACCACTAACGAAGTTTGTCATCACTGACTTAGACATTAAAATGGAAATTTCATTACATTCTGAGACACCAATAAATCCAAATAAAACACAATTACAAAACAGAATTTTAAATGGGGAAAACCTCATGGAGAATAATGGAAGTAACTAAAAGAATAGCCACAGAATAACTGGGGAAAGCATTTACTTCCTAAACCCTTGCAGTAACAAGAGGAAAGCTGAAGTTCAACTAGGCTCGCACAGGGGCTGCTTACACCTAAGTGCACAGACTAGAATACTCCCCATATTCAAGTCTCATGTCCCTTGGAAAAGAACACAATTATCACTAGTTAATTAATGTACAATGAGAAAATGAACCAATTTCTTACAAATAAGGACAGACACAGATCCCACAGCAAAAGTATCAGAGCACTGTTTGCAAATGAGTGGCAGGATATTAAACGATCACTTCCTGCTTTTTCAGTACTTGGAGAACTCTTAAGCTTTCCAAAACAGTGGGGGAGATGTGACAGACAATATGCTCTTTAATATTTCATTTCAAAATATGTACTATTAAAAATTTATACCCACAGTGGGATACTTCCCTTCCCATCCCCATATCCTTAAAAAACACTTGAGGACATTAGAGACTTCAGCAAACCACAAAAACTCTTAAAGATGTAATGAAAAAGATTTACTTAGTTCTCTTCCCACATACAGAGATGTTTAGTTACAAGGCTGAGTAGCTCTAAGACAAGCTGTTCACAAGACTAAATACCTGTGTATTTTTAAATTAAAATACAGAAACAATTCTTGAACAAGACAATAACACTTTACTTCCCCTTCCCTTAGCTTCCTTTCTGAGGGGTCCAGAGGCTATTCCTAAGTGCAGTCAAAGAAAGCCACACACATACCATGTTAATTCCTATAGTTCAGGCATTCAGCAGTTTAGTTTAAGGCAATATATTCTAATAAAACATCTGAATTATAGAAACATGACAGGCAATCCAGGAATACATTCTCCTTTCTTGTGGAATTAAATTCTTTGTATACAAGATAATCTTGCAAACATATCCCAATACTCAGATTTGAAAAAGACAGTTTTATAAAATAAGAAATACCCAATGCTGTGGAAAAGGAAGAATGACTGACCAGTTTGTTTTCTGGTTGCTGAATGAATTCTTTCAGTTGCTTTACAGTAGCCAGTCTTCGGTCTCTGTCGTCTTCCCGAGTAATCCTCCGAAGAAGATTTGACAGTCGAGACTCGTCAGAATAAGACAACGGTCGCTCTAAAAAAAGTAATTATTTGTTTTTTCCTACAGCATTTATCAACAGCACAGTATTGTCCAATACATGTATGAGTGAAATCAGTAAGTCATAATAGCCATTTAAGGAAACAATTAAAAATAAATCCTGATTGGTTTTAAACTTTTATAAAAAAAGAAAGTTAAATGTAAAATCTAATTTAGCTACCAAAATATTTCATTTCTTCATGTGGACAGCCCAGTACCTCTGTTGAACTTATTCAAAACTAAGCAGAGCTGTCTTACTTCTACACAAGAACCTAAACTTAGTTTCCTTCTACATAAATGGAACTAAAACAATAGTGTGGGGTAAGATTAAACCAGACTTCTGGTTGAATAAATAAAAATAATTCAAATAATGTTTTGATAAAACCTTGTGGAAAAATCAAGCTGCTTCTTGAAGCAAAGAACCAGATTTAAGTTCAAGCAACTACAAAGAAACAGTATTTTCTCTCTGACAGGTAGAAGGGTTCTGCTTCAAAAAGGAAAATGGATCTGCTCTTCATTTACTGAGGAACAAAAGCCCCCAGCTTGAAGAGGGACCTGGCTGTTCACTTAAGCAGATCACAATGGGGGAGAATGAACACCTTCCTAAGAAAACACTTCACCAAACTTGGCCAACAGCACATGATACCAGAGAAGGTCAGGGACTAATTACCTATTAATTCATACAAATAATTAATTGCCCTCATTTGCAAAAAGGAAACCAAATTTCTTTCAACAAGTTTAAAATTAGATGCTTCATGGTGGTTCAAATCAGAGGATTCATGGAATGTGATGAGGTACCCTGAGTCAACATGACTAATGAGAAAATCCAAGACAGCTACAGAGAGCTCTCTGCTCTACTCTGCTAGACATCAGTCATCCGATGTGACTAAAGCAGCTTTGTCTTTTTTCATTTAATAGCTAATCTACATTGGCATTACTCCCAAGAATGTCAGCTAATTCTTATGTCACAATTACAACTTTAAGGAAAAAACAAGCAAAAAACACTAACCAAGAGCACGACTGAAGCGACACTAACCAAAGCACTAGTTAGCAAATACCTGTGACATCCAGTTTGTGAAAATTCAGCAAGGTCTCAGCCACATGCTAACTCACGGAAGACTATTCTTAAAATTGTTTAATGAATATATTAACAAGAAAACATCAAAGAACTTAAACCCCAAAATCTTGTTGCAGCATAATCCCATTGTATTTTAAAGAAGATATGAAAAACCAAAATGACTTGCTGAAACCTACAACAATCAAAGACAGCCAAGTTCAAAAGGAAAAACTCTTGAAATTGACATTTCAAGGAGAGAAAACATACAAGTAATAGGCAGCAACCTCAGTCATCCAAAATTATATAGCCTAACCTTTTAAATATTAAAGAAATGCTCACATGCCCAGGAAAGCAGTCTGAATTAACTATTATTTAGTACTGGCAGAAAGATTTTTTTATTCAAAGAATTTTCTATTTCTTCTACATAGACATTAAAAGACACTAAAAGGACTACCTAATTTTAGATCAAGACACTAGAATGGGATTCTAAAGTCTGAGTTTAAACCATTCACAAAATCACATTTTTGAAACAGTCATGTCACTATTTACATCTCAGCTCTTCCACCTGCAAAGCACACTAAACATTCTTTTTTCTCCTCTGAAATATTAATTATTGAGAAGAAACAGCCTGTCCTCATGTTTATAATGTGCCTGGCACAAAGCAGGCAGTTTTTACCAGTGGCTCAACTACTACTTATACTAAGTGATTCAATAAGTGACAGTGCTTAGTCATAAAGCTTCTATTTTCATTCAAAAATGCTTGGAATAACTTTTTTTTTTTTTGAATTATGACTCAAACCTCAAATAGTGACAAGAGTGAAGCCTTCTTCCTCAAAAACACAAGCCCAGCATTCCTGCACCCTCTTGAAACTCCAAATTTGTTCTTGCTGCATCTCCAAAGACCTTGCCCACATTCTTAGGATACTTCCAGCTCCTCCCTGGCCTCTATTCCTCAGCAAGAGGGAGCACAAGCAGTGGCAGGCTCAGGACACACACGGTGACAGGATGGTGACAGGACATGATCACTGCTTGTCCTGCAGCCCAGGGAGAACAGGGAACAGCTGAGCTGCTTCCAACCATTGCTGCTCTTCCCACACTGGGGCTCATTAATTACCAACTTTACTCAGGCATCAATCTGCAACAAATCCAAAGCAAGTTTTCCTTCTTAGAGATGTCTCTCCCAAATCTGACTAACCTAAGTAAGGGTTCAAATGCCATCTAAAGGAAACTGAAAGATTAACAGCCTAAGCCAGGTAGTTGAGAAATCTGCCAAACCTGTAGAGGAAGCCTCAGCAGAAGGAACAGTAAAACAAGACAAAAAAACGAGCAAAACAAGTTTCCATCAACACCATCTAATCATGTATCACAAAAAATAAAATCCATACAGAGTGCATAACTACAGTGAACGTCTTCTCATATTCTGAACACAAGAAATGTTGCCAAAAGAGATATCCTCTTCCTGAAAATCAGCAGTATCCTTACCCTGTGATTTCCTCATGTCTTTTGTGGCTAAAGCACGATTCCCATGCGGAACACTGGTAAAATCAGGATTGGTCACATTGTTAACTCTCAGCTCTTGCCCCAACGACTTCCGACCATAAGTATTTTCCCCAGATCCTCCATTGACACTGTAGCCACCTGTGGACAAAGCAATGTGACATTAAAACAAGCTTTCAGATATTTACAAGAGTGGTGAGCTGCGACTTATGCAATTCATATGCAAATTAGCAGCTCTATCTTCTACCACCTCCTTTAGCTTCCATTTTCATTTCTATGTGCACCAATGTTTTGTTATATCCTGTAAGTTTCCAGGTCACAGATTTAGAATCTCATCTGTCTTTCTTTTTAAATATGGGAAAAAAACACTACTGCCATAAAGTTTAGCATCAATTTTGTTGCATTTAATGTTTTATTATTATTACTTTAACTTGAAAGGCTTTGTAAGATACAAGGTCAAACTGCTAGTACACATGGCTAGTTATTTTCACTTACTTGCTCCTTTACGCACATGAAATCTCCATTCTGTTTTTGCTATGAATCCACCACACAAGCTAAGTAAAATGGCCAAAAAAAAAGAGAAAGTTTTTGGAAAGACAAATATTATCTGTTTGCACAGACTGAACAACTCTCCTAAATACAAAAAGGTCAACATTTTCACTAATACATTTTCACTAAGCATAATTTTGAGTAAGTCAATTTATCTTACTCCTATATCCACAAGAATGAACAAACTCAAATGCTGAGACTGGAAGTCTTCCAGCCTGCCACACCACTTTGCAGGGCAGGTTTTTCCCCTCAATACTGTAGAGAAGTGAAACTGTCCCCTGAGCCTGCCCAATCCTTCACTCAATGTATTAGAGCTCACTTCCAAGGAAGATTTCTAACGAGCCTCCTCTGTCCAAGACAGGGAAGGATCAACTAATAAAATTAAACCCAGCATGACAAAAAAAATGCAAGATTTCTCTCAAAAAAGGTAATTCCACAAGTCCTGCTTCAATATATAAAAGAAGGTCTGGGGAAAAGGACAGGTGGCTCCCCAAGAAGCTGCCCACTGAGACTAAAGGACTGACAAAAAAGTAGAGTTCAAACATTGAGGTGAACCTGAACTTTAGCAGATGTAAAGAATGCTTATTTAAGGCAAAGCTTTAGATAAAAAGCAGATATTAACTACCAGTATGCATTTTTGCATTCCTATACACATAGAGCTACCCTACCATTACAGAAAACCCTGTGCAAAGTCTCACTTGCAATTAGTTAACTACAATTACAGTAAAGATAGTTTTGTATCATTTAGATTTACAACATCTTTAACAACTAAGTTTTTAAACAAACTAGCAAGCATGACACCTTCACGTTATTTTGTCAGAACAAACCCACTGTCCTATGAAGGATGTAACTTCTAACAGCAATTAATGCATTTGAGCCTTAACATAAGAGTCATATCCTTGGAGGTTTTCAAATCTGAAAATCTTCCAAAAAATTATCAACTTGTGAGTGGTTTTTATTGCTAACTCCAGAAACTGAGAGGAGGTGGATAGGGGGTGTATGGAAGCCAGAACAGAAAATCTCAAATGAAAATTCCATGCTGGCAGACTCCAACAGATGAGTTGATAAATCTTAGTAAACAGAGAAACTATTCTGCATCTTTAAGCTAACAAATTTCTCCAATAATAAAAATGAACTAGCTACACCTGGAACTTGGTTTTATAGTTAGAATATCCTAATCACCTTTTCTCAAGTCACGCCTGAACAAAACAGCACGAAGTGCTGAGCCAGCAGAGACATGCCCTGCAAGACACAGCACTGGAGGGAGAGCCAGGTACATTTTTCTTCTCCAATGGCACTTTCCCAGCAACTTCACAAAAAACCTTCCTGAATTTGTCCAAAACTTACTATTTCACTGCACTGCCGGTACATTCTTTAAATACCAGCACCCTTCAAATTACAAGAACAACCTCCTATGCCAGTCTGTGTTAAACACAATACAACATTCCACATTAGCAGACAAATACACTCACCTCCTAAGCAGTTTCTCTACTGAAGTAAAACAAATCTTAAAGTTCTCAAACTATGCAGATAAACATGCTTCTGCCACCTACTAACACTACCTTATAAAAAAATTAATTTGCATCCAGTTGTAACTTCCCCTAAGATACAGCAATTATTTACAGTCAGTTACAGGTCAGAGAAGTGGGGGGAGTTCAAATACTTTTTAGGTTCCTGAACAAAAATTTCCACACTACAATTCCTGTGAGATTTTTTCTTGAGTCTGGCCTGCCTGAGGATTTACATAGTCAAAAAGTGACTCTGCAAGTAATAAATCCTCCAATTTGATATCTGTATTTGGCAATTAGAGAAAAAAAATCAGAATATAGATTTTTCATTATTACAGAAAAGATACAATTCTGACTGTTTAACTATTTTCTAGAGATAGCATTTATATCCTAAAAATGAAAAAAAAAACAAAACCAGTAAAAATGTATGAATCAGACATCACATGATTTACATGAAGTCAGACTGAGGTACATGAAAGTAGAAACTGCCATTAATGATAAGAATATAGATCTGTTTACTGAACAAAGATTCCAGTTTGGTGCAGTAAAGCTACAACAGGCAATAGATCAGTCTAGCAGCCCATTTAATCCAATACCAAGAGTACTAGAGACTACTGAGGAAGAAATTACAGCCTGAAGACCAGACACATCCAGAACATTATTCTGAGGAAAAAAGTACACATTCTATTAATGCATCAAGGCTTCTCTTGCATTTTTCTCCTAACACAACTGCACATTTTTCTCAGTATTCACAAGCACAATTTCTTGGTATTTCTTTGACAAATTTCCCAAAAAAGCAATACTGTTGCAATGAGACAAATCAAATTGCTGCCTTTTTTGGGGGGAGGGGAAAAAGAAAAAAACAAAACAAAATAAGAATTTCTCCATCTCAGTTTACTGCCTTTCCCTGAATGTTCCCTCACAATCATACATGAAACAGCAATCTGTGTACCTTTTTCTTCATTCTGTATGTCAGTGTGGACTCTGATATCATCGTGTCTTTGCCGAGACACCACAGCTGAATTTGAGGGTTGTAATCCATAGGAGGCAGAACTGCCCCGATCTCTGGATGAAGAATATTTTAAATTGTCCTGGTCAGCTGATGCACTGTCAGTTCTACAAAGAGAAAAATATATTTTTTTTAATGTAGGGATATAACAGGAGTGGGATTCACATTCACTTATAAATGCAACATATTTAAATGACAATCCCAAATGTATTTCCCTATGTCAAAAAAGTTGTTTGTCTAACCTGTTGCTTAAAAAGAGACCTTAAATTCACATTGGGATGGGAATTGACTAATTATCACAGCAACATGCAAAGGAAATGCGTTCTAGAGTGCTAGTGCCTTTTCTTATGACCTGCTCAAGTCTCTTTTCAGTTGCATGTCTATACAAGGAAAAAATTACTCCCCAGAGGTGACAAATAAAACACAACTAGGTCCAGGTATGTATCACAGCTGGATGATAGAGTGCCTACCATTTGTGAAAGTCATCACTAGTCTACAGATGAACATTTACATAATATACCATGGGCCTTACTCAGCAACATAAACCCTCTTACTAGATGGAAGAATGTAACTGATGATCAGCACAAAAATCACATATTAAGTTTCTACAAAATAAAATCTGCAAAGCAAGGAAGAAGGCTTTACTGTGAAAAATCTGAAAGGTAAATTAGGAGCTGTGATCCTTAAGCATAAATGTCTGCAGATAAAAAGCAAGTTTAAAAAAAACTGCATTATGTTTAAACCACTCTCATATCAGAAAACTGATATAAACCAGACTAAACTTTTAAGGAAAAAGATTAAAGTTATGACATTAACTCTTCTCCCTGGACACACTAAGTGGTTTAATTTTTAAATATACAGGACTTTCATAATAAACATGCATGCATGAGACTTCAGAACATAAACTCAACCAATCTCTTTAAATGCTCTCTTACAAGCAATGATGGGGGGATGACATTAAAACAAATAAAGCAATACTCATCCAAAGGGAGAATCAGCAGAATTTCATTCAACTCAAGTGTATTTGGAATCAGACTATTCAGATTATTAGCAGCAAGCTTTCCCTACTCTAAAGATCTACTATTTTTATTTAAAGTTTTGGATAGTTCATTCAATTATTTAACAAAAAAGCAGGACAGATCACTCCTGTAAATTAACTACAATTTGTGTAAGGATAAACACCACATCTTAATTAAGAAAATGTCTTTCATTTTTCCTTTTTAAGCAAACACTGTGATTAGAACTGGTAGACAAATTCAGGGAAAAAGGAGCTAAATACAAATACATCTCAATGCCAAAAGGGAAAAACACAGGCAAAGTTGTTACTTAAGCAGTACTAAAGGCTTGCTTGGCCACAGTACAACTGGAAGAGGAATACCATGAGCACTGACACTTGCAAAACCAACTGGAATTAAAGACACACATTTTATTCTCCTGAGCATGTTAAAACACATTATATATTATCATTTTGGAACAATAAGAAAATTGTGCCTTTTTCCCTGTTCTCACAGTGTAAGTTGATATAAGATTTGCTTGGCAGATTTTATTCCCTTTTGCACTGTAAGCAAGTTCAATTTTAGACATACACAGCAAGACACTTTTCCTCATTCAGTATTCACTCTGCCATCACATCTACTGCTTTGTTGGGCACTTGCTTGGGCTATTTAAAAAACAGGTTATGCTATTCTAGAGGCAAAGCCTTAGTAAAAGTCTTTATACATGACAGTTAACTAGGATTGTAAAAATCTTTATACAATTATTCCATCATCATTAACCTAAGCTATGTTGAACACGAAAGTTCTGCACTTCACATGGTATGAACTTTGAGTGTAACCAAATCATGAGCAAATTTCCAGACATACACAGGGACCCCAGATCTTCTCCCTGCCCTGAAACCTCCCACTTCACAATTACATTAGCCTTTCAATGAAACAGGCTGACAAATTTTCAGCTGGCAAATTTAAGTACTGATGACTTTTTACATTTACCTTCCCAAAGGGCATCGCTTTTTTTAAGGCAATGTGCTGTAAACTGAATCATCTCCAATTGTCAGCCATTAACGCTGAAATTCCTACGTCTGAAGAAAAGCTGATTAAATGTACAATTTTTAACACTGTTCTGTGAATATCTATCAACTGAAGGACTACAAATGTTCTCAGCTAACCCCACTTCCCACAGGACAGCCTTTGAATGCTTTGTAAAATTTTCCATTGTGGAAAAATACATGAGCCTATTGTTTCCCCAGGAAAACCCACACACTCACTTCATCCTGGCTTCTGGAACAGCTATCTGCAAGCAACCTGCTCACACTTTATCACCAACTAAAAGGTGAGTCCAATTTTAGTAAAAAATATGTAATTGTTCTCCTATGTATCAATTTAAGTGACAATAATGCCTTCTGACAACATTGTTCCCACTACAATTAAATGTGTAGCTTAGACAGGATAGAAACTCCTGGCTATCTTTATGAGGCAGAGACAAAAATCATCCTAGAAAGATTCTGGTATTCCGTGACACAACTGACTGCTATGGCCCATATTGCTTGAAAAGAGGATTTCCAAACCACTCTGGGAACTTGTGGCATGGGCTCATCAAGACCTGGGGCTGTGACCCAGCACCTGCCACCTGCCCCAGGAATCTAGACACTTGGGTGACACAGGGCACTGCTGTGCACACTCACTGTGTGCACAGGCAGACACCCTCAATTTCCAAATCCATTTGTGAAAGGTACCTTTTCCATGTCAGGAATGTGGTTTTTATTTTGAAAGACAGCCCCTCACAACTCAAAGGCAGGCACTCTGTGCTCAGGTCCTTGCTAAAGTCTTACAAATAATTTTTTCTGCCTCCATCCAGCCATTCCACCAGGAAATGGGCAGAACTGTGCCGCTGGTCACCTCAGCTCACGTTTGCCTTTCAGGAAGGCATTTCTGTTCCTGCTCACATGGTGGTATTTCCACTTAAATTGCATTGCACCAAGCAGATGGCCGGTTACATGACAAACCTAATGCGCAGCATTATCCTATGTAACAACAAATTTAAGTTACATAGACATTGCCACACACCTAACAAACATCATATATTAATAAAGTCTCAATGTACAGTGTTAGCAACAGATAAGGCAAAAATATTAATGCTATATTAGACAAAATGGGAAACTGTAAGGATGAACATGACTATGGTTATCTTATACTGTAGCTTCCAAAGTTTATTTGGCACTTTATGAGAGACTACACTGTATTACTTATACCTGAAAATCTCACTGATGGAGGCTAAGCAAAGTACTTCAAGAGCTCACATGAGAGTTTTCATCCATGTCTGGCTCTGGTGGAAGATCACCCATCACCACCAAGTGGCTGCAGATGCTGTTTTAGCAATATCATTTAAACAGAAAATACTGCATTCTGTTTTCTGCAGGGTGATTTTAAACCTGCCTTGGTCCATCAGGAAAAGAAAATAGTTCATCCACCCAAATAAGCAGAAATAGCCACTAGTGTGTCCTCCCTCTACAAAAAGCCTGCTTATTTTTTTTTTCCATTGGCATACAAAAGGAAACAGACTTTTCAAAAATAAGTCTATTATCTCATTTCATCAAAAGTGTGAATATGATTCGACTTGCCAATATGGCTGACTTCAGAGAGCATGGCTAAGAGCAACTAGTTTAAAAAAAATCTTTATCTAGAAAAAAAGAAAAATAGATCAAAACTATATTGTCATTTTTGTTACATGGAAGCCTTAAGAATTTTTGTCCAAGAAATTTGGTACAATCTGGTGTATATTCTTCATTATATGTAGCCTTTTTAGAACAACACTGCCATAGGGACATTATTTTGAGACAAAAATCACTTAATTATTCTACTGAATTTTATTTCCAAGTACAAAACCTACATTAAAGATTTACTCCAAGACAACTCTACTGTCTGAGCTCTATTATTGTTCAAGTCAGTTGATTTTACTTGCTTATTTCCTCTGTTTGCCAAGCTTATTTGAAGTAATGTAGATAAATTCTTCATTACTGAAATTCTTTATCAGTAAAATATTTAAAACTTAAAAGAGTCACTGGATTCATCCAAATTAACAGCTTCCCATCAAGTTTCTGCCTGTTCTGCCACTGGCATGCAGAGCTTCCTTTTGCCATGATCTTCTCACCACTTGGTCCACCCTGCCAAGCCAGAGCCTGGCTAAGCCCACCCTAAAGTCTACTTTTGCTTCTTCTGCATTAAGAAAATACAAGTGGCTGTGTTTTCTATTCATGTAATAACTTAACTACCTTCCTCCTGCAATTCTGCCATCTCCATTGCTGGACATCTACATGCCATAACAGTAGCATCTTAAAGCACCTCTTGATTCTGTGTCACTCCCTTCTTAGACAGTAGCTCACCAATGTCGTTCTATTCCATGATGGGCATTATTAGAAGGGAATGTCAGGGAAAGGTATCACACATACACATCCTCTTCTTTTTCCATAGGTGTGTTCCAACAGACATTTTGGGGTACAGCATGTTGAACTAGCTAAACCCTTAGTCTGATTTAGTATGGCTGTTCTTGTATGGAAAACAATCTACAATCCCAGTTTCTTCTGCTTTCCACTGACACACTTTCATATTCTTTAATTTTTCTCACAACTCATTCTCCTCTGTCTTCACATTAAAAAAAAAAAAGGTTTTTACATTACAAATTTCAGCTCCTCCATTTTACCAAAAAAAAAAAAAAGCTTAGGAAGGTGTGAGATCAAAGAGTTATCAGCATATTTAACACAAATGTGAAAGGAGATCAAGAATTATGGCTTCAACTCCAGAACTGAACCCATACCTGTTCAGCATCTCCCACATGCAGACCACTGAAACTCTTCCCAAGGTTTCCATTGATGTTTTCACAATGGCACCTTACTACTGATCCTGCATCTCATTCTTTAAGCTGCCTTCAACATCACTGACTACTTTTCTCTCTCCCTCCCTATCTCAGTCTTTGCTCTCCTCTCTCTCAGCTACCCCTGAAGGTACTACAGTCACATCCACTTTCACCCTACACGGCTCTACACCCATTCTTAGGTAATCACAGCAACATCCTCAAACACCTCTATGCTGCCAACTTGTAGGTCTCTCACCTCAGCAAATTACAGTTTCAGACTATTTCTAACAAACATTTTACAGGCACTTTGCTGTACATGCAAGCACAGAAGAAACAGTCTCTGTTTCAACTTTCCTTCTACACAGCACCTGCTACTATCCCTGCTTGTCATTCACTGTCTGGATGCAGCATTATGATCAGACAATTTCCACAGTGAGTGCTTGCTTTTTGTGAAAGACATGCCTCTGCCCTTCACAGCCATGTGAAAAGCACTGCTCTGAACAGCACTTTCCTGGGCCATTTGGTCTAATGGGTTTCTTTGCTCTCTGCCAGTATCTCCCAACCTGTCTGAATTAAAGACAAGGTACTTGTGCTCAGTTACAAACTTCCAGCCAATATGCTCGCCTGCCTAGGCCACAAACTACCTGGAAGGAGACCATATTTTACTGTCTTGTCTCATCAACTCTAAACCCATGAGGACCAGGCAGTAACTTAGTTTGGCAAGCACCATGCTAACAGAAATTAGTAACTCATAACACTGACTTATGTTGTAGGAGAAGGACACATGCCATTTTCATGATTTCAGTACTAAAACCTAATAGGACACTTCTGGAAATTTGCCCAGATGTGAAAAATGTTGTTTCACACTTTTTCACATTCTGCTAACCTACATTTATGATAGGGGGGAGAGAGAGGTCCTGTTAATTAAAATCTCATGTCCCTTTTCACACTTTCATCGAAGAATGCCATGGTGCACTCTGCACTTGCTAACCTGCTACTCTGCACTCACACTCCTGCATTTCCTCCCAAAGACCAGTACTGCTTGTTTCAGTACAAAATTAGCCCTCAGCACTCTAACAAATCAACTCTTTTCACACACAAGGCCTGCACACTGAAATTATTTTATTTTTTGCCCCAAGAGTTGTAACAGGAGATCTGCTGAGCAACAAGAAAAGAAAGAAGCAAGCAAAGGTCTAGACAGCTGCAAAGATTAGGAGGAAGAACAAGCTCTTATCAAGCATTCTCAAAAAACCCTTCACTGTTCTCTGTCACATCCATCTACAAAGTTTTTGTGTTGCTATTAATTGAGTCTGGTACACAGCAGTGCACAAAGTAATACACCCCTATACATCAGGACAACTTCTTCCTCTGTAGAACACAGCTCTGTCTTACACACACTCTTGGAAAACTAGTCCATGTTCATCTGATGTATGACTGCATCCGCACACACACACAAAATATAATTTTAATTAAAAATTGCTTTTCCTTGAAAACAATCTCTGCACTCCAACTTTCAGTTTCACACTCTTTTCACCACAAGCCCCAGTGCTGATCAGCATCACTAAAAATTGAGAGGAAATCAGGACCTACTAGTGAAAATTAACCTAGTCACTTTTACACACACAAAAAAGTGCATTTGAAAACAATCCATCTGATTATACACCCATGTAACAGCAGTTCCTTTTTTTGCCCTTAGGAACTTGAAACAACGACAATTATTACAGCTTTCATTACTTGGGCCACTTCCTTCACCTATTCCACACCCTGCAAGAAAGCATTTACCAGCAGTATCACCTGAAGTAAATGAAACCAACAGCCAGCAGAAAGGGGAAGGAAAGAATATGTGGATATATTTGTGTTGTGGGGTTTCTCCAAGATCATATTTCAAATTATGAAAGAAGCATAGACTGTCAGTTTTATATAACAGATCTCCTTTCAAGCATGCATGTGAATCACTTTTAAAAACTAGTTAACACCAAATTGACAGATTGATTTAATCTCTGCACTGTCCTTAAATTCACACTGTAGACTCAGGTTTCTCATCACCAATATTTCTGAGATGTAAAAAAATGGAGTACTGCATGTAGATGAAAATGTGCTATGTTTGGGATTGTGTGAATGTTCCTGATTTCTGGTATCCCCTACTGTAATACAAAAAAAAAGTAATATTTAGAGGAAATGATAAGTTAAATTCTGAGAAGTGTCAGGTCCAGTGTAGAGGTGTTGGCTATTTCTTAGCAGAAGCTCTTGATCACACAGTGTGATGGAAACAGAACAAGGCCCTACCCATGCTGAGGCTCCCTTAGGCTGCCACATTTCTCTGGTGTTCTCAGAGCTTTGGTTCTGCTGTGGCTTTGTGGACAATTATTTTAGCAGCCAGGTCACAGAGCTGTACTTGAGAGCTAAGGAGGCACCAGACTACAGGGAACACAGCAGAACCACACATGGAGGTAATTTCTTAAACCAGCCTTATCACCAGTCAAAGCTACACTCTTACTTTCACCCTTAACTTCACTGAACCCACTGTAAGCAATACTACACTGGATAAAACCAGCTTCCTAACCCTCATAAGATATAATTTTTAGATAAAAAGATAGAACTCATGACAAATTCATATATCCAACCAAAATGCATTTACAGAAGTCATCCACTGCAAAGACACATCCAATTTCTTCCAGGTGGAAAGGTCATGATTAGGGCTCAGAATTACAGACTTCAGCCCAGAAAACTGAAGCAAAGAAGGTAAGGAGTAAGAGATCAGTCTTTTTAATTTTATCCCCCAAAAAATCTAGATGCTCTAAGAAAATGTCACCAATGGGGTTCATAAGTTCTTAAGTGAGGAAAAATGTAGTAAGTTAAGTGACCAAGTATTTCAATCACATAAGAAATTAGAATTTAAATAACCATGCCCCATACACCATTAAGAATTGAACAGCCTCTAGCACTGGCCCTAGTGGCTGCACTGTTAGCTGTTCAAGCAAAAGGAAAGCTTCTTTCACAGTAAATGCTGAAGTGACCTTCACATTCACCCAGTTTTTCTAGTCAAAACCACATGAGACTGGGACCATCACCTGTCAATATATTCCCAAGCATGTGCCACTCTGTTCTCTACTGGAGAGTTTGTAAGTAGGGTCCCATGTTGTGTTAAACTTTCAAAAACACTTTTAAAAGCCTCAAATCCACATATTTTTCAAAAAACTTAAGAAACACCAAATTTATATAGGATTTCTACATGACAATTTTGACCCTGAAAACAGCAAGGCTCGAGCAAATATACTGGCATGATATACATCAGAAATAACTTAAGACCCGAAATACACTCTAGATCTAACTAAAGAAGTGAATAGACTTTGAGTTTTACTAAACTGTGCCAGATGTAAATACACTTAAAGCCTTACAACACATTTTAAGCAGGCTGGGTGAGAGCTTATAACCAAACTCAAATAAACCTATGTAGTACGATGTTACCCCTCCAAATCTACGAGTACTCCTGCAGCCTCAGCTCTTCCCTAGCTGTGTTCCAGCTGAAAAACAGTCTGAAAATGCGGGACCCGAGCCCAGTCCCGCTCCCCCGCCCCCGCAGCCCCCCGCCCGCCCCGCGGCCGCCAGGGAGGGACGCGCTGCCCGCGGCCACACACGGCCACCGGCCGCACTCGCTACAGGCCGGGGAGCGGCGCTCCGGGGGAGCGGGGCTCCGGGGGCAGCACGGCGCGCTCCCGCCCCGCCGAGCGCTGACAGAGCCGGGCCCGTCCCGCCCTCCCGCGGCCCCGTCCCGCCGCCTGGGCCCGCCGCCCTCCCGCGCTAGGCCCGGCCGCCAGGAAGTGGCTCCGCCGCCGCCCCGCTGCCCCAGGCCCGGCGGCGGGGCCCGGCCGAGCCGCCCGCCCCGCTCGCACAGCCCCGACCCCGCGCCCCGGCCCCAGCCCTGCCCACCTGGGTTGCCAGTCATTCCAGCCCCGCGGGTGGTAGTGCTGCCTGCTGCCGGTGCCGCTCAGCCGAGACCCCGGGGCTCTGCGGCTCATTACCTTGCCCGAGACGGCATGGCCGGCCGGGCAGCGGCGCGGGACAGGGCGGAGGAGCAGCAGGAGCAGGAGGACGCGGGGGGAGAGGCGCGGGCGGCGGCTCCTCACTCGCGCTCCGCAGGCGGTGCTGCTGTCTCACAGCGCAGGGAGGGGACGCGGCCGCCGCGGCTGCTCCGGCTGCTGCCCGGGCGCGCAGCACGCCGGGATGGCGGACATGAGCCGCCCGCCCCTCCGCGGGGCACGCCGGGAGGGCGGGCACGGGGCGCGGGGGCGGCGGCTCCGCCTCCGGCAGCCGCGGGACGGGATCCCCGCCCGGGGGGTGCCGCTGCTCGCCGCCCGCGCCTCCCCCGGGAGCGGCCGGCCGGTGCGGCACCGCCCCGGGCCGTGAGAGGGGTGTCAGCCCCGGCCCTGCGGGGCGGCGGTGGCAGCCGCTCACCTGCCGGGGCAGCCCGTGCTGGAGGGCGGCCGGGGCGTCCCAACGCCGGCAGCGTGAAGGGATCGCGGAATCTCTGGGGGTTGGAAAAGACCTCTGAGATCATCGAGTTCAACTTCTCTGCGAACATCACCGCGTCAACTGTACCATGACACCGAGAGCCACGTCCAATCTTAAACACCTCCGGGGACGGTGACTCTACCACCTCCCTGTGCAGCTCATTTCAGTGTCTAATCCTTCTTGTGAACTTCTTCCTAATACGCAACCTAAACCTTCCCTGCGCGCAGTTTAAAACGATGTCCTGCCATCCTGAGGATAAGGGTGTCCTGGGCCCCGAGAGCATCCTGGCGCCTGAGGAGTCCCGGGGTGCCCGGGACATGGCGGGAGGCGGCGGCTCCCAGTCCCCAGCTGTGAGGGGAGCCAGGGCATCCCAGACCCCGAGTCCCGAGGGGAGCCAGGGCATCCCAGACCCCGAGTCCCGAGGGGAGCCAGGGCATCCGACACCCCGAGTCCTGAGGGGAGCCAGGGCATCCCAGAGAGAGTCCCGAGGGGAGCCAGNCCCAGACCCCGAGTCCCGAGGGGAGCCAGGGCATCCGACACCCCGAGTCCTGAGGGGAGCCAGGGCATCCCAGAGAGAGTCCCGAGGGGAGCCAGGGCATCCCAGACCCCGAGTCCTGAGGGGAGCCAGGGCATCCCAGACCCCGAGTCCTGAGGGGAGCCAGGGCATCCCAGACCCCGAGTCCTGAGGGGAGCCAGGGCATCCGACACCCCGAGTCCTGAGGGGAGCCAGGGCATCCCAGAGAGAGTCCTGAGGGGAGCCAGGAGACCCCAGACCCCGAGTCCCGAGGGGAGCCAGGGNGACACCCCGAGTCCTGAGGGGAGCCAGGGCATCCCAGAGAGAGTCCTGAGGGGAGCCAGGAGACCCCAGACCCCGAGTCCCGAGGGGAGCCAGGGGATCCGACACCCCGAGTCCCGAGGGGAGCCAGGGCATCCCAGAGAGAGTCCCGAGGGGAGCCAGGAGACCCCAGACCCCGAGTCCTGAGGGGAGCCTCGGCCCCCGGCACTGCGGGGCTGAGGTTCCCAAGGTGTGAGGGGGACCTGAGCCCCGGGAGCAGCCAGGGCTGACAGGGGCTGGAGGGCAGACCCTGCCCTGCTGCCATCTCCCCCCTTCCCTCTGCACGGATCTGTCTGTGCTGCCCCACTCCTCACTGGGGTGTGCAGGGAGCTGTGTTCCTCCGAATGGAGCGGATCCCCATCCCCACGGTTCTCCACATTAGGGCACATCGCCCATGTATGAGTGACAGGGAGTCTGATGTTCAGCAGCCATCAGCAGAAAGCTGACCAGGCCCACATTTAACACTAACCAAATCCCTAAGGTTTCCCCATCTTCCTCACAGGAACCTTGTAAAATGCATGTAAAAAGTAAAGTAATGCCTTTCTAAGCTCAGATACATTTCCGTGTATCTCCATGGTTATCTGTGCTATCCTCCAAAGCTATCTTCACAGTTGCTGGAAGGGCATTTGATGCCCACTGTTGGCAAAGCCTGTCTGTTGCCAGGAAGGCGGACAATTCTGAGGAGACAAAAAAGGTCGCCTCTATTTGGTAGATATTCTAAGGACATTTCCCCAGAAAAGGTGTGTACACTGTCTGTGGCATATTTTTATTTGTCCTGCAAGGTCTGGAAACTTACATTAGCTGATTTGTTAAGTCCAATTCCTGACAGCAGACTATTCCTTATTTATGAAAAATCATAATAGTTTGGTCAGATATTCACTAAAGAGACATGAGTAGATCAAAATCTTTTTACAATTGCAATGTCCAAGGCTTGAGATCTCTGCAAGACCTGAGGAGACTTCTGAAATTCTCCTGTGCCTATTTCCATATTAGAAATCTTCCTAATATGCCAGGGTTCTGTTGGAGTCTTCTCTCAGACAGATGGCATCCTGCCGCCTCCCTTGGACTCTGCTGGGCAGCCCTCATCCGGCTGATACAGTCCTATTGCCTTGCAGTCAGTTAGCAATGCCTGCAAGATATAGAGATTTCAAAATCAATTTCAGGACAAAAAGAAAAAATTGTATCACAAGGCTTCATCAAAATAAAATGCTGCTTCTTTGCAATAACCCCTGCCCATAAGTCTGACTTTCAACTGATGTACATTTGTGTATCTTAAGTGAATTAGTTTTGCAAAACCAATCAATTCCGTGAGTCATGACAGATTTTTTTCCCATCCTTTATAATTGAGATGGACATCCAGAATTACAAAATATGCCACAAAATTATTTTCTGTAAGTATAGCAACAATACCTGCTGCAAATTTGCTGACCCTTCTCAATAATGTCAAGCAGATCCTCTGCCCCAGTGATGCAGCAAGTGTTTATTTTCGTTTCATTACTGCGTAGCATCCCAGTGGTAACAAACATGAATCACTTAAGGGAAAAGGTAATAGTAGCAATGAATTTTTAACTACACTTCAAATTAATTTACTAAGGGGAGGCAAGAAAGCAAAAGCAACATGGATACTATGACCAACAACTGCCTGTGTCCACCAAGAGTTTAAGAACCACTGATTTAGAGTTCAGTAGAGTAAATTTTGTATCAGAAATCCTGTATTCTAGTGGTGAATTTGCTGCAGTCTGTGTGGTCTAATGCAGATCTCTCCTCAGAGTGCAGTTGCCTCCATTTGTAAAATAGATTGTTGATGTTCAGCTTTCTAAACTGCTTTTGTGCACAGCCTTAACACTGTAAAATATTATACAGCTACCAAAATAAAAGATAATCTATATTTGTTTCTACAAAGATGATTATATTGTGAAATTTGAATGGTATTAAAGGTATTAGTTAAAAAGCTCATCAAGATTTGTGAGATAGAGTAATAATTATTCCTAGAGCATTTTTTCAGTAGCAGATTTCAATCAGCTAAAGATGGATAAGGCCATTCAGATATCACACTAGGAATTAAGAAACCCAGGGAAGATGAGGCCAGGATTTTCAAAACTACCTTCTAAATTTCAGGCCTCAGGTTTGGAATTCAGCTACTGAGTAGCCAGCACAGACATCAGCTGGAGCCATACATTCTGAAGTCTTGCTAAAAAATAAAGTGTTTAAATATGGCTTTCTCAAAATAGAAATATATGAACTTAAAATACCTGCCTTAAATTCCAGAAAGAGTTGATGACACTTGTGGAGATACGTGCCCTGTCTCACCCTCGGGTGTATGCTCAGTCCACTCCATCAAACTGCCCACATTCATCCTAGTGCACAGCTCTGGAGTGACAGACACTGTGAACCACACTTTTCCTGCTTTGTAATTCATGCTAATGATTTCTCGATTTAATATATCAAAGAAAGCTGCATTAATCTGAATGTTATTTTTAGTTGGAATGAAGCGCAGAGTGTATATATTTAATGTGCTGAAATAGGGTGGTAAGCACCATATTGCGTCTTTTACCCCTTGCTAATTTATTTCCTTACTAAGCAGTGTGTCTGGAGAAACCAGCATGTGCTGAGGATTGCAAGTCACTCCTGGCCCTTGGCTCCCGCTGATCCATAATAAAGCTACAGATTGAGAGAAAAACAATCAGCAACCATGAGGGGGAAAGAGATGCTATTTCCTCTTGTGGAAACAGGACAGAAGCCAAGGAGCAAAACAGTATTTAACTAGAGCAGAGAAGTACCAGTCGCCAAGATCCTGTAGTCTGTGTATTTCAGATAGATGCCTCTTAAAAATTAGAAAGTATTCTTAGAGGAGTTACTTTGTACACCTGCCAATTCTATTGTTTTGATGGCAGAATCCAGTTTCTATCAATAACCAACCAAATTTTCAGTTGAATGGCCCCACAGACTATTTCTGGTCATAGCAGACTCAGAGCACAAGTGATGTGTGGCCAGTCTGTGCAGGCACTGAGAGCACGGGGTGTCCAAAACACGTTGTACTGGCGGCTCAGGCACAGCCCCCAGGCGTGCACAGGAGCTCCCCCAGGACCCCCCCTGTGCTTCATTAAAAACCTCTGCAGGTACAAGGATCCATAGAGGTCTCTGCCCAGCAGGGACACTCTCCATCAGCAATAAATGCTGCAGCCCCTATTGAGGCCTACCTTGTCTCATCCCAACCTGGAATTTTTCCTTATCCTATGAGGTGCATTGATACAGAAGTCCAACGTACAAATAATTCTAATAACAATGTATATTGAACCCCACCAGCTTTGAGTTTAAAATAATTTTAGTGTAAAAAAGTCAATCATTTGTTTTGGAATTCCAATTTGAATATCAACAAAAATCAACTTTTAGCTTCTTTTATTTGTACAAAAACTAGGGAAACATTGGGGTTTTTTTCTGAGTATTTATAAAGCCACTTTGAATTTAAGTGGGATAGCACATGCAACCATCTGCTCCATTTCCTCAAGGTCTTTTAGAGGATATCTTTTCCTGAACAGTATTCCTCTACAACAGAACAACAAATATAAGACATTAAATTTCTTAGAACTTGCTCTCCTGAATTTCCTTATTATTATTACATCTTTAAGGCATTTTACATCTCCTACGTGAAATATACAGCTCCTAGTATAATGTACAGTATGTGAGTAAATATCTGAGCTCCTGTCACAGACATCATCCTGTCATAGATTTATTACATCGTGGGCTACAATAGTCCTTGTTTGTGTGTATAAGCCGTTTCTTCATATTCTGTTTTTGACAGTATGTTTTTCCATTGATTAAGTGTATAATTCCTTAAATGTCCTGGATATTATTACATATTACCAGCAACAGTCATACATAACATACAAACTGAGCACTTCCATTTAAGTGACAGATTTCTAAACAAGTAGTTGTTGCAGTAATTTTGACTTGACAAATGCATAACTTAAACTAGTTTCAGGTCTTTAAAACTTTAGGTCCTGAGAGTCCAAGGAAAAGTAGTAGGAGAGTAATATTTTTTTGTTGATACAAGCAGTCTTATTATATGTATTAAATTTCAGGCAGGGTGAAAATGGTGAGATAACCCAAAGCAGTAGTGTCCATGCTGGTTTCAGAAGAGTGGGAATTGCAGCAATCCTTTTCTGAGTTTTGAAATCCACACAGAGCTCCTTAGAGGAAAGTAAGTCGTAGTCCCTCTGCAGTGTGTTATGTAGTTAAATTGACAGCACTGTAACAATTCAGTTAGAAAAATTTTTCAACATCTCTGAAAATGAAACTTCATGGAACAGCTGAATGTCTGATGTGCAGACAGCACTGGCTGAGAGTCAAGTGTGCTTTTCCTCACTCCAACTGCAAGGTGCTCCCCGGGCAGCAGCTGCCCCTCCTCTGCTCAGTGAGACAGCGCTGGCCTGCCGAGGTTTCTGTACCTGCACGCCAAGCGTGGCTGCAGATCCTGGCTGTTCAGGCAGCTGTGGGGAGATTTGTGCTGCTTGCCTTGTCCCTGAGAGCCTGGGCAGGAGCCTGAGAAGCACTGCATCCTGCAGGAGGGAATCGCTGGGGCTCACGAGCAATTGCACATTATGAAATGCTGCACAGTGGTGGAGCAGAGCTGGCGTGCGCTGTACTGCACTGCAGAGAAAGGCAGAGTTGCAGCAAGAAGCAGTTATCTCTCACCGTGGATGCCAATAGTACAAGACTATTATACTGTGAAGCCCTTTTGAAAAATTAATGGTGTGCTTGATGCTTCACCTTTCTGGTGAATCTGAGAATTTTCACCTGTTAAAATAACTGCTCTTGCACATAAATTTTCATGCTCTGCAGACCCAAGTTTATGTCATGTTTGTTGAAAAGGTAATTTGAAAGAGGCTGCCAGGAAAGTATCGAGCCTTTAGGCATAATAAGTCCAGGGAAATTTGTTTGAATGGTGTAATGAATCCAACGTGTTAATTTAGTTCAGTTTGGTGCTTATGCTGATAGTGGAGTGCTATGAAAATGAAAAGAAAAATTGGTCTAAAAGGTGCTGTACAAATAGAAGTGAAACATACAGTAAACTCCCCCAAGGTATTTATCCTTTAATCTTCTCTAACTTTAATTGCTTTTTCTAGGCTTATTTTCCTAACCATTTTTTTTTAATGTGTTCCAGATCTCAACCTTACCAAGTCCTTATCTCTCCATCTTTCCTTGAAGCCTCTGAAAAAGACTTTGATGAGATCAGTAGAGATGTCACTTGAGTCATACTTCATGAGAGAGCTCGATAACCAGTCTTTATGAGAAAAAACACAGTATCAGAGCATGAAAGAGAGGAGCCATGAGTCCAGAAAGAGAGATTTAAGCAGCAGGTCCTTATCTGTCAGAGCTCAGTGCTCTGACCCAGACAGTGTTCTGTGGGACTAATTTTATGTGTGATATACAACCAAATTTTCTGTCAGTTTTGCACACATTTCTCAAGTACCACTCAAGTTTTCTCACAGCCTTTCTAAGGGTATTTTTGTGGAAACTCACAAGCTGAGGTGTCCAACCACAAAGCTGGCAGTGGGACCAAAGTAATTCCTAGAGGACCCATGACTCATCTGCTGGCCAAGGGACCGTGCAAGCTCTGCTTTCATACGAAACCAGCTAAAAAGACAAAACCTTTCACATCTCTGGATGTTTGCATGATAACATGCTAACAGGGTGGGAAAACACTCACCAGCAGAAAACAAACTGAGTTGGATAGACTTGTGGGATGTGGATAAAATCAGGGAAAACACAGGGAGCAACAGCAGTTTCACTGGTTCTTCTGCAAGTATCCCTGTGACAGCAGTCACTGGTACTATCTAGAGCAAACCCAGGAGGGTTCAAAGTCTCCAAAAGGGGAATTGAGGCCCCAGGCACTGCTTGATTGAAATCTCACCTGCATGGTTGTTGTAGCATGTTATTTTTGTGAGAAAGGTTGTGTCCATGTCTGAATAATGACACAATTCAATCTGAATCAAAGGAGGATAAATTGCCTTTTACTGCCGGATACATGCAGTGCAAGGACTCAGTATTCCTTTGAGCCTATGAAAAGCTTGGTGTGGGAGAGCTGTCTAGCATTATGTAAAAGGGAATCTGATTTCCCAAATAACATACATGCATTGTAACCACCAAATCATCTTGTAGTGCCCTGTATAAATCACTACAATTTGAAGCTTCTCTAACAACAGCCTTACAAACCACAGCTTCCTTCAAAAGCAGCTTTGACTCATCTCCAGGCTGGGGTGAAAAAATAGCATATGACTTTGTGCATGAAAAACACACATTATTCCCAATCAACCTGATTTCTGAATTTTTCTCAGATTTTCAACTTTTGTTTTTTTTAGCCTTCATAAAGTTCTTTCAATCCAATTTTTGCATGTTTACAGAGAAAACTGCAAGGATTTACTCAGAAATAAGCAAAAGAAAGACAGCAGATCTCATCTAGCCCTATTGACATGTTCTTTCAAATTTTTATTTTGTCATACTTCTTAGTCCCCAGTACTTGTGATTTCTTGCATAAAAATATGTTATTTTATAAACTCCTGTATGTCTTAAAGCTTTCTAGGTGGAAATTACATTTTTTTCTTATGTTTAGAATAGTCAGACCTTGATCAGGTTGGCATCTTGAAGCATAACACAACATAATATTGTCTAATAATTCTGCTATAGAAGAGAGCTTCATCATCTGAAGCAGAATGAGGCCTTAAACAGAGCACATATCTTTCCTTCTTTTTCATTGTTTTCCTAGGCCACATTTATGCTACACTTTTTCCCAGTTCCCTGTAGCACCACCATCCTCCTTACCCACAGCTCGTGCAGCCAATGCACACAGAGCATTACAGCCCTGTTAACAAACACGATCAGCCTTTCATTCAGCTAGAAATGTTACATAAACTTACTGTTTTCTTTCACAAAAGTTCCTTTAAATTCTTATTTGAGATATTAATTAGATTGTTTTCAACATATGGTTTGCAATTACTTGGTTCTTTCAGTTTCTTGAACTTGTTGTTCCACAGTCTTACAGATATGGTGATCCTTCAGAATGAATAAAATTAACCTTGCAGTAATCACTAATGCACGAAGATAGTGCTTCAACATGGTGCTTTTTCTTGTTATTTCTGTTCACTGAATATAAAAACAGTCGATGTTTTGTTCTCTCAGCTCATTCGTTCAGATGTTTTTGTAAAATAATGACACTAGAAGCTGCCCTGCATTTATTCCGTGTCTGATGTGCCATTAGTTAAACACCTACTCTCCAGATAAATGGAATTTAGCTCCAAGTGTGCAGACCCAATCCACCAACCCCTTAATGACATGTTTGCAAATCCATAAATCCTAGCTGTAAGCTTTCACCAACACACAGCTGAAGA